CACTGTATATTTTTGAAAAAAAAACAAACAAACAAACAAACAAACACAAAAAGAAAGAAAGAACTAATTTTTGCGCCCTTCTACCGATATGCACGTATTTCATTATACGTTTCTGGGAAACTGCACACTTAACCCTCCCCCAAGCCAACATTTTACTCTAACTCAGAAGTTAGTGTTAATGTTGGGTTAGGCGGTGGGTAGGTGGGCAGTTTCCCAGAAACGCGTGTAATGATTCCACTTATTTTAATGTGTTTTACTGAGATACGCTAGAAAAAAAGAACTAAACTTAGGGGGAATGGTAGAAAAAGCGGGCCTCCTGTCAAAGCCCTAAGCAAATTTAGTTAAGTCAAGGCGGTTTTCAAGGTTTTTAGGGCATTAAGATTTCTGACTAGAATAAGTGATTTACTCACTCTTTTTTAACAGCTCAAAATTATACAGTTTCCAACAATTCACCATTTATGACTACTCTTTCATCATACAAAAGTAAAATTTTGGAGTTTCTCTAAATTTATTCATTTCTTTCAATTTCCCTTGAGCAATCATTTCAGCGTAAAATAAGTGCTGTCACATGCCGGTCTCTTGTTCTTTCGTTTGTTTGTCAGTCTCCTTGTCGATCTAATATTTGATATATCCTCTACAGGTGTTTTTCTCGTGCTTAAATTGAATCCACTTGGCTCATGGCACTACTTCACTGAAACTTTTGTGACACTCTGTAATTCTTCAGTGGTTACTTTCAGAACCGACAAATCAACTGAGTAAGATCTAAGCAGGCAATTTTCAAGAATGACCTATCAAACCATAATAATAATGATGATAAAATAATAGTAATTATTATTATTATTGTTATTATTATTATTATTATTACTAATATTATTCTATAATTATTATTTTTAACCAGAAGATTCTCTTACTAGGGTCGGTGATTTTTAGAGAGGTCCTGAAAACAATTACCTGAAAGACAAAAAGCCACTAACATACCACAAAACTAGACAACAAACCAGTTGACAGATGACAAGTAGAAAGGAGTCAGGTCAAAGAAAGTAGCAGCTACCTTACCTACTTCAGTCTTGATATCTGCCAATGGAAAAAAAAAATTCACACAAAATTTAATCGAAAAATCCACCATGACTAGTTTCGTCAATGACTGAAAAGGTTAAAGAAACGTGAAGAACAACTTTACAACTCGTTATATTGCCTACAGTAAGAACTTTTCGAAATTTTGAAAGTAAAACATTATCATAAGAGGAGATGTAACTTGTGTTTTCGAGGCCGTTGTTATTCACCACCAAGAATGACATTCCTGTTTAATCTGTTTTATCTTAGAAGAGCCAAAGTACGCAGTGAATAGTGTAGCAAATGTCAGTAAACTTACATGTTTTTCTATGCTTCAAAGTCACCAAATGGTTTTGTTTATCTGCACTGTACAATGAAAGTTGATTTTTTTTCATTAATCAAAATGTGCCCAAATGACTTAAATAGAGAGACCTATTACTTCAAACAAAATAACTTCTAACATTTTAACCGAGGAAATGAAAATTTCTGGCCGAGGTTTAACTACAACTCAACAGGTAAAGCTTTTCAACACACACACACACACACCATAATAAACATTAGGTAACACAACCATAAGATGATCATAGGGCAACTGATACATAACTGTATATAGTTAGGAAATTGGCTTCTCCGTACTGGGCGACGTCTGGACTTCTGACCGATACGAATGGACGCATGGTGTTAGTAGCAAGAGAGGATTAACATTTATTCTTGCCCCATCCGTATATTGGCACCAATTTTCTATCCAAGATGGCGCGCAGTTTCGCTGCTTCTGTTCTTTTCAGTTTCTTTCTTTTTTTTTAATGTTTGCATAATACCAGTTGACACGTTTAAAGCAACGATGGAAGCACACAGAAGAATAAGCGCAGGAAAAAAAATCATTAATAAATGGCGAGCTTTTTTCGTTTTCATTGTAATGCTTACCATCGTTGTGTCGCATGTGCAGCATCGTGGGATTATCCAAGCATAAGCTCGAGCACAAGAATTGGGCGTTCATGCTTGTGTCCAAAAGATTTACACCACTTAAATTTTCCTTTTTTCCCTTAAGCGTGTGCTTATTCATGCCTCGTACATGCAAACGTTTTTTTTATGTAACACTTCTCTGGAAAGCACATATCATCCGCGTTTTCTAAGCTGATAGATCACGCTCAGTCAAAACTGCTTGCTGATTATACACAGCTAGCTATCAGCAGCCCTAAGATCGGACATGAAACCAAAGGAAAAAAAAAACATATTTTAAACTCTTTTTGTAATTAAAGGAACAAAACAAGCTTGTGTTTTAGCGTTTCTAGCTGGACTGATACTCTGCATGGTTAAAGCAAAGCGAATTCACAAGACACGTACAGACTTCACGTGAACCTTTTTTATTTATTTGGTAGTGGCGCTTGAGTGTAGGGGAGCGTTTCTGTGCAAAAACCCCAGTGGCGAAACCCCGGTACTACTTCGAAAGCCGTAAGTTATTAGGTAGGCCGAGCTGAGGTCCGAAGTAGCTTTATGCTAAGTTATTTACTCTTTAAATGACTTGGACAGCGCGTGTAACTGAAAAAACACGTTTGGCACAGCAAAAACTGATGTCATGTCAATATTAAAGACGTCCAAAATCAATGTTCAAGGGACCAGGTCACCGTAATTTCACTGATTTTACTTAGTATCACTGATTGTCTGTAATTGGAAACTTTTAAAAAGCCTGTAGCTTAGCCCACAAGTCTTTTACGGTCAAATAACGGAAGTTGACTTTTAAACTTCACACTGAATCGCACTTTTACACACTGAGATAAAATTGAAAGTGGGGGTTTCCCTTTTCGGCTTCAATTCATGGGTATCTTTTGCGTTCTCAGTTTCAGTTTCAACTGAGTTTTTATCGGTTATTTTGATACTTCAGTTATTTCTTTCCCCAGTTTGCAAATGCTAAAATATATAGCATAGTTTGATACGAAATTCAGTAAAAATGCCGACGTGTCTCTGAAGCCGCAGGTAAACGTCTTAGTTGAACTTGTCAAGGAATTTTAGTTTCATTCAGAAGGAAAACCTATCAGTCAAGGAAGCTTGCTTTGTAAATTCACCTACAATCTTCTTTCAATCAATCTACCCACGCATTCACTTTTAAACCGTTTTGTGGAGTTTTGTTCATCGACTAACTTTTGACTAAATCCTATAACGACTCTATAATGCTACCATTCAAGTATAATGAAAACTCTTTGCATGTTTATTTCTTATGATTCTACAAAAAGGAAATTTGGAAATGGGGATTTTTTTTTATCTTCGGCCACTATAAGGAGTTCAAGGGTTAACCAACTATGCGTAGGATACTATCAAACCAGTTTAAGTGTGCGTATCCCCATTGGGAATCCCCTATTAAGCCGCCCCCTCTCTGAAATAAGCCCCCGTCTCTAATACGCCCCCCCTTTTTTCAGGGGAAGAAAGGTACTAAGCTCCCCCTCTCTTTTAAGCCCATCCCCCCTCCTCCCCTCTCCTCAACCTTATTATTCTTCACTAACAAATGATAGACTGTATAAATCAATCATGAATCAGTGACTGTAAAACTTCATTTGGACTGATCCGCGCAGGTTTATTCACATGTCGGAAGTTCGGATTTGTTTTTGATCTTCGATTGCATGACCTCCAACTTCTTGTACTTGAGCTTTTCCACTTTGCATTCTAGCGTTTTATGCCCAGAACTGATACCACCATCTTCGCTAAATTAATAAGGCCCCCTCTCTAACAAGCCTCCCCCTCAAACATGTTTGAAATAAATAAGCCTCCCAATGTCTGCGGGGTATTGATTTAATATTAACTGGTATAAAGCCTTGTGCCTTGTGGCGTGAAAGTATTAAAGTCACACAACGACATTTCACGAGGGAGAAAAAGTAAATTATAGGACTTATAAAAAAATATTTTGGAAATACTGAACCGGGTTTTTTCAAAAGCCGTTATTCTTATACCAAATGCAATTTGGGATAATTTGTGGAAATTTTTGTGCAAAATAGCATTTGTTACGGCGTGATCTTCTAACAGCTCGATTTAAAAAATATCTGGTAAATAAGGGAGTAAATATTAAAAAAAAAAAAAAAAAAAAAAAAAAAGGGAAACATTTTGTAGTGGCTTGTTCTTCTACCTGTGATGTGCGATGGCCCATGGAGTTTTGTGGTGGCCCGTGGCAAATAATGAACTCTGAAGATTTCTTTGACACCTTGGAACTTTCACCCTCTTAGTACTTCGATGAAGTTTTTAAATTCTTGTCATGCTTAAGCTTACAAGTTAGGAGTTTAAAGAGGGTCTTTAAAGAGATCTGTCTGATCTCGTATACAACGATGAGGAAACAAAGGCTAAGTTTGCCGCGTTCGCTTATTTTACAATCTATGTTCAATTTCTTGTGTTTTTCTTACAAGACTTAATGGAAGCTGCACGACGTTTGCGTTACTTATTGTTATCTCGTGACTCTCACATCAACTTGAGGCTTGAATTCGAGACGTGACTCGCTCTTCAGCAATCTCGCCTCGAGCAAATTCCGAGGCTGACTTGTGATGCCAAATAGGCGTGTGACACTGCCGTGATGGGATAGGATGCCTTGTGATTACCTAGCGATCTTATAAATGTACCCAAGATGCCCATGACTTTCAGTACTAGAGTTTCAGTAGCTTTTACCCTTTGGAAAATTCCCTCCCATTACAAAAGACGTTCTCAGATATCATCAATACAGCAAAGCGCTGAGACAATCGACGCTTTTAGCCCACGGCCAGCGAAGATACATTATTAAGAGGCGGAAAAGTTTCGGTCGCAGTCAATGCAGTACGTAGCATTCGAATCCAAGAAATTTCCTTGTGGAACACAGGTTAGCTCTACGGAATGTGTTTAGTACAAATGAATGTGTGAAATCCTTTGTACCTTCAGTGTCGTTAATCCAGTTTTAAAGTTCGCGTATGCCGGTGTGTGACTGATCGACCATCATGAGCCTGGATACTGGCGAGCGGGGACTGCGAAAAGAACAGTGGAGAGTAAGAAAGCGGAAACGAAGGAGAATTGTCTCTCCGCGGTTCTTCGCTTTCTTGGCTACGCCCCGCTCCCACTATCTGAAGGCCTTAAACAGGCTAAGAGACCAAGTAATCCTCCGATTACCCGTAGTCGCTAACCCAAGGGTCGGAACAACATCTAAATTTCTTTGTCACTATGGTATAGTTAAATTAAATTATGCTGCTGTTAGGTTAAATCATGTAGATCAGAGCAAACTCAATAACGTAGCTGTAGTAGTAAGGCGTAGTATTCCGGATACACATGTTATCACGAGGTAATCTATCCGTGTCTTCTTAACTAGACCACTTGAGCAAACAGCAGCAAATCGTAGCTTGATATTTCTTTGTGTGTGTGCAAAGCTTTCTCGTGTCGATCCTGTGAGCTTTTATGTATATTTCATTCATTTTTATCTTCTTTTTCACTTTCATTTATTCATTTGAGTGTCGCCCACGTTGTTCGAGGGGGAGGGTACTTTCACTGCTACAAAATTCACTTCCCGTATTCCATATTTTGGTTTTCGGGGCTTCGCGAGGCCTCTTTGTGTCTACGGGGAGTTGCTACGGATAGGGAAAAAAGAAAGCGATTGCTTACTATAAAAAAATATATGGCATTGCAGCCGGGAAGCCTCTGTGAAGAGAGTTAAGGGTGTTCTCTGAGGTATTTAGTCTATAGTGGAACTTTTTCTTTGGAACACCTATATTCGAGGGACTCCTCTATTTAGGGGACACAAAATTTGGTCCCGGAAAAAAGTTCACATAATCTTTGCATTTATTACCTCTATTGAGGGGACACCTCTATTCAGGGGCAAGAGAAAGGGACACTTTTTCTGGGTCCCGAAAACCGGGTTTAACCTTCATTCAGGGGACACTTTAGACCTCAAAATTAAAAAGTGACTGACCACAAACATCGTTTAAAGGGAAAAATATTTTGCTTGTTGGCTAATTATTAACAAACCCCATCCCAACCTCCATTCACGGGACACGCTATTTTGGTCCCGAGGGTGTACCCTGAATAGAGGTTCCACTGTAATTTCTTTAACGTTTATCGGTGTTGTACCCTCTCCCCCCACCCCCCTCACCTCCCTGCCACTCCGTGGCCTAACCTCTGATTACTGCACGTACCTCCCTAGCGAGTGACTGAAGTTCTAAGCCCCGTAATATCCCCCCGTAATATCCCTTACCAATTCTTCTTTGGTTTCAACGTGACTCAAATTGACATAATTATACCACTTAAAGTTACTTAGAACAACCTAATTAAAATTTGAGTAGTAACATGGAGATAATCTTAAAGATTATCTCATTACTATGGTTCTCCCTTTGTGGCGAAATATAATCAAAACATAACACTTAAAATATGCAATGACGTCATCCTTATAATATCGAGGGAAAATTCCCGTGTTCACGTGGGTTCAAACTTCATTTTGCAGCGGTAGCAAATTTCTTCAACTGTGTCGACGGCAAAAGTATGCTGTGCATGTATGTCAGAGCTGTAGTTTTTGGATGTATCTTCGTAACGGTGAGTACAGTTTCAATTCCGCTGTATTTTAGCTTTAGGATAAATCTTGTCTGCTTCTTATGATGTATTGTGGTGAGAAAGAGAGCTTTTTAGATTCATGTTTTTAGTACACCTCTGTTTCAACCCGAAAGGCTAGTGAAGTGGTCGCTGCCTTATTACTTCCATTTGATTTGTTCCTTCGCTTATCGGTTTATCACATTTTAGCGAAGGTCTGTAGAAGCAATTTAGAATTAAATATTTCTAAAAACAAGAGCATTTTTTTTCAACGTAGGCTTCATGTGCAAGCCTGTGCATGGCTGTAATTTGATGTTTGTAATAAACATCATCGGTTGTTAATTTCACTTGCGACCGAAATGAAACGAACAAGTTGTTGTTAATATCTATATTTGTGTATGAACTGATCTTAATCGTGTTCAGTTCGGTTGAGTCTGCGGTTTTTCGCTTGTGAATCAACCTTTTCAGTTCGTAAGTTTTCGAACAGAAGCTTCGTGCGAACCTCAAAAAAGCACATGGCTCCGAAGCTCTGAAACATAATCGCCGTCAGGAGACCACCACGGCAGTATCAACCCGATACTGTTTTCGGGCCGCAACTCGTCATAAAAATTATAAATTTTGCGCTTAGAAATCATGGTATATTCAAGGCTGATAGCCCAGTTCCTTGCAAAGAATAGACGCAATGTTTGTGATCGGTAGGTGGGTATGTTTTGATTCGCGATTTGCATCGATTAAACATTAACGTGTATACATATCAACGTACAAGCGATAATTTACACATTTGTCGTTTCAGCTTCGTTTAATATCTGTCTTGTTTAGAAATACAAAGCACGATAGGATTGAACTGTTGATAAAAACAACGCAAAAGCCGTTATTCGGAGCAGAAATTAATCGACCTTTTAACTTTGCCTCAGGACAAATTCATTTGACAAATCGCTTTTATTTGCTCTGTATGAATTGTGTACGCATTAGTCAGGCGGAATAAGATCAAAGAAAAGATAGCGCGTGAATACGGAAATAAGGGATGATTCCTTCGTAACTGTTCTTTGCTTTTCTTCATGTTCTCTTCCAAATACTAGGCTTAAACTGCAAGCAAATGGTTCATTTTGCCAGCTAGAACTGTCGGCCATTTGAGGCGCCTCCCACTTTGCATAAGTTTAAACTTGTCCGCTCGTGGAACAATAATTTAATAATAGAACTTCCAATTAGCCTTTGAATTCGCTTCATTGCTGCTCTTTGAAACACCAGTTGAGTGAAAACTGCACAAAGAAAAGCAAAAGCCGTAGAATGTTTACTTTATTGTGCTCTTTACAACACTACCGCTCGCTGAGCGACTCGTGCAAGCCGTGGTTTTGGCGTGCCGCGCTCGAGACAAACAGTGACTGCAGTACTCCTAATACACAATACATTATGAGGGCAATGGCTGTAAAATAGGCGGTAGAAATTTTACTAACAGAAGAACTCACAGTGGGACAGCGCTCGGGATCAAAAGGTTCAACTTGTGTATCAAAATTCACACAAAAGGAACAACATAGCTGAAATTGTTCGCCACCTGTGCGCAAGCCAGGAGTGATGCCATAAAAATTATTTGTTTATATCGCTTCGCTAATCTTTTGGAAATATAATTGAAAATTGCAATTAGACCAGAATTGCAGCCACAAATGCTAAAAAAAAAAAAATTCGGCGAGTTCTTACCGTTATTTGAGAAGAAATAAAAAGCTATCTGGAGAATATTGCAGATATTGGCCATGGTTCTTTTTATGTTTCAGCGACGTCTGACCAGATTTACAGTTAAAAACGTCTTGTTCTTTTTTTGAGGATCAAATTGCCCGAAGAGGCGGAAATTCCGATGGCCTTAACATCTTTAATTATGGAACTGAAATTTCAACACTGAATGAGAATTTGAAGTATGGCGATTACGGCAGTATTGAGACCCCAAAACTAATTAGCGACAACGCAAGACTCAGTCACAAGTTTTAATTTTTGAATTTCTCGGTCGTCCAGTCGTGAGATTAAAGTGACGCAGTCAGTGATTTTAAGATTACTTTTTGTCTTCGATTTTTAAAATCAAGGACAAGAAATCGCTCCAAGTTGCGTGTTTGCAGTGTCAAATTTCACAACCGGAAATCATACATTCGTGATCCGCACGGCGGGTATTCGTTTTCCCATAGGAATATATGTCGTCATGTTACGAGAATATACTATCACAAGCACGTATCGCTATTCTAATATGATAGTTTATGCCTTAAAATTGGCGTAGAACGCTTATATAATGTAATGCTAAGGGCAAGCCGCCAGGTATTGCATAGACTATTTTTAAGTAAACAGGTCGAGATGACCTTAAGATCCAAAAGCGTAGGATCAAGTGATAAACACGGGAAACCGATGTACTTGACGGAAATCTACAAAACGAAATATGTAAATACAAGTTGATGTCTTGTTGAGAAATGACATTGTTAAATTTTGATCACTGAGTGATATCAAAGTGTCTGACATTACTTAATTCTACCGTGCTCGAGTGAGTCAGTAATCAGCGCTGCCTTCGATTTACGACCTGTCGCAGAGGGCACGAACTGCATCGTCGTAGGCGTCAACGAACCTGGATCAGATCGGATCGGATCAACTCTTGTATCTCACTAAATGACAAAAGGTAAGAGATAGGATCACTGAGAATGATCCCATACGGTCCTATCCAGGTCTTCCAACGACCCATCGTCTAGCACAAGCAATGTCAGAAAATTGAACCTCTGGGACACTCGCAGCCAGAAAAAAATATATTAATATTTATCATAACACGAGTCTTGTGTAGGTTAAACACTTCACATGTGGCAAAATTACGTGGTCTGAGACTCATTCCTAGAGGAACCCAGGGAACTATCAGAGTCGGATTCGGCCCGGATGCTATATTTAAAAGACGATATGACAAACAAAATAAGTTACGTCCACTCCTTATCCAACAAACCCTTTGACAAACACAAACACAATAGTAAAGCCAGAAAGGTTTCACTTGAATGGGTACACAGACTCCAGAAGGTAGATCAACCTTAAAAGAACTTGTCATTTAATAAATGATAAGGCTTGGGACTTTACTGTGGATTTAAAATCGTGTAGAAATCATCTTGCATCAAATCAGTTTCATAGCAACACAAAGCTAAGATAAACTTTTCGTGGTTGCTGATCATATTGGTCTAAACGAAATTAATGATAAAAATTCGTTGAGACAGCACAAATTTATAAAGGCTTTTTTTTTGTGTACTCGCATGGCCTGACTCTTTGATGTAACCAGTCAAGTGAAGTCTGTTTTGTACTACTCTTACATTGTAAGTTCTTTTTTAATCTGAGGACAAAATCTTATGGTGTGACCATTTCACCTAGCTACTGTGACTACACTTGGACCTTTTAGTGTCAGTTTGTCGACAGTAAACTATAGTAACAATGAATGACAAACGTAGGATTCGTTCTTTAAAAGGCAGTAGCGACTACAGGTATTTCACCAAAACTTGAAAGTGAGTCGCCTTCAGTTCAAGACAGAAAGAGGTTTACATCTGGTCTTTCAATCGAATGGCCGCAAGCAAGGTTTCATTTTGTAATGAACTAATCGAAGTGCAGGAGGCAAGACACTAGGGAAGAAGCGTCATGGTAGGTTTCAACAACAACTTAATTCCTCTTAGCATTGTGGGTAATGACAATTTCCTTAGAGGGTACTCAATTTATCACACTGCTTTGTCCATAAATGAGATTCAAACAGTACAGACAACAAACCTGCAACTACAAATTAAGTCGGTCAATCGGTTTTCTATTCCTCATTGATCGCCTCAAAACAGTTGGCGCTGGCACGTTTGCAGACTCTTGGGAAGACCAAGGCTCCGATTCCTCATCATCAGCCCTGACTTGTGGTTGTTATATTTTGATAATGGTGTCTCAATACCTTAACCGTTTATCATGAGACCTTATTTACTGATCTACATGACATGAACATATCTAGTGTTCAAGTCCCACACACCTTAACCTGACCCTCCAAGATCCATCTGTCAATAGTGCTGTTATCCATAACCCAGCTGGGTGTAATTTTCTGGAAACTGCCCATCCCTAGGTGTCTTCAAATCCTTGTATTCCTTCTGTTTTCTCTGTGCTCTTGATCGCCTGGGCTACGGTAAGTTTCAACCGTCGTCTGCGAGAACGAGGGCGACGTTTCAGCCAGCGTTGCCCCTGTGGTGATGTGCGATATCCCATTGGTCTGGGCCAGTTGCCTTCTGTATGCTTTTTTCACCAGTGCGTCGTTCACCTTTCTGACCAGACCGACTGTTCAGCTGCCCCATTTGATCGAGGGAGATTATATAATGAAATCATGGTGTGCTTTAGTCCATAATTCATGTCCATTAACCGATACAACTTGTTTTGGCTAACCGTGTTGGGCAAATACGAGACTTAGCTGCTAATAGAGTGCCCTGTGATAATTGAAGACATATGTCTTCCCTCGCGCCAATTAGAATAACTATGTTAATCACCACTGGAACATTGATCTTGCCCTGTTGTCAAAACTCTAAGTGAATGCGTAGCAAGGGTCGGAAAGCCCATTTCCGTAAGCCTCTGTGCTTTCACTCCCTATCTTTTGAGTCTTCATGAGGTAACCGGGAGCGTGCGGTTTCTCTTACCTTTTGTATTAACCCTTTCACTGCCGGAGTACTTGATGGAGTTTTGTAAGGTGACTCTAACTTTTGAGTCTGTGGACGAAATCGTATGATGTGACCATTCAAATGAAAGCTCTCTGCCTCTACTTGCACATGGTGCTATTTATTTTTCACAATTTCACAAAATGAAATTTGGAAATTGGTCGAAATTTGCTTTTGGATAAATTTGGCAGTGAAAGGGTTAAATTTGATCATCATACGCAGAGGAAACAATGACCCATCGTTGAATCCGCACAGCTTTCTTTGTGAAGATTGCAGCTTTTGGGCCAAGTAATGTTAGCAAGGGCTGTTGATCCGTGACTGGCATGCATCTTGAATCATTTGAAAGGCCTTCCATAAAAGCTTCGATAGCTTTCTGGCATTCCTGTTTCCAAACACTGGAAACTCTTTTGCAAAGCTTACACAGGTGTGCCAGCGTAATGGTCATCCCTCGTCAGGAAAGAATGATAATATTGGACTATGACTAGGAAGGATCTCAGTTCACTTACTGCTTTACTTACATTTCAAGGGATTGGTCTCTTTTTCTGCAGTGATTTTCTGTTCTTCAGTGGTATGGTATTATGACGGTTCTCCAGGACATCTACAATATCGACGAATTGTGTATTTTTGGGTTTGAATGGCACCAGGACAATTTTGACGAGCTGCAACTGCTGTCAGGAGAGGAATCTAACTCGTTTTCTATCCTTTCTTCTTCTTCTCTTGAGGGCTACCCTTCTCTGTTGTCTTCCTGATATTAGCTCTGAAAAATACTTTCATTCCTTCCACCTGATTCACGACGCTCGCTAATGAACTCGCCGCTAGGAACCCTAGAAACGAGGAGGGATGGCTGCTTTCGCAGGCTATTTCTTTGTGCTTTGTGTAGGAGGAGGCAGCGTGGCCGGGTGGTTAGAGCGCTGGATTTGCAATTCGGATGCCAAAGCCCCGAGTTCAAGTCCCACTCTTGAGCGCTAGCTGGATTTGTTCACGGTAGTCCCGAGTTCAGATCCTCGGCCACGCTTGAAAATAGCCAGTTTGAATTCTTAACCCAGTTAAGTTTGATTTAGGCATTTGCTCGGCCCCACTGGCTTTAGTGCTATAAATACTGCCGAGGGTAAATAACGGAATTATTTATTTATTTATGCTCGTCCCTACTTCCTGAAACAGGCTAAAAGTTTGTTAATCTAGTCGTTTTCTTTGGGCTCTGTGATTACGCATTTCTATAAACGTTCGTACAGAACAAGCCAGTGATTATTTGTAATAACTGACTTTGTTCGCGTCGTGTTGTCGGTGATACATTTCCCTCAGAGAAAGCTCACTGAGCATTTTAATTGAATTTTTTATTATTTTATTTTTCGGCTGTTTCCTTTTTTCAGTTAACCAGAATCACGTAGACAATAGGTGATTAAACAACAACCCGGCGTTTGACAGCATGCGACTCAGAAAATTCCTCTTGTTGTAAACATTACGATAATAAGTCACTTTTGGTTTCCTTATTTAATGGATTAGTGTTAACACAAGAAGTGATGTACTGGAAGCAGCAGGAAATAATGGTTTTAGCAAACGTGTTTCTTCCCACTTCTATAAAAAGACAATGTTACCATAATTATTTTACATGTGACACTTCCGTTGTTGAAAAGCCTTTGTTGGACCCAAATTGTCTTGATAACCGAATCAGTAATCGAACCTTGGCAATCGCTTTAGGTTCTTGCCTGGGCATGCAAAGTTCTGACGAGTGTCCCGTTCGAAAAGTCAAAAACAGCACACAGAAATAGAAAAAAAATGATTGACAGTACTCACGCGCGAGGACATTAAGCTCCGGGCGAAAGGTTATGTCACTACGTTTTATGTTTTGATCTCATGATCGTCGTTGTTTAAACTTCCAAACGAAACACCAGGATGTGTCCTTCTTCGCTCGGTTTTCTCAACGTAATTGCTATTTTACTATGTGGAGGACAGTTGTGGTCATATTTTAATGGCGTCAAAGCCCAAGAAAAGGTTTGTACTTTAGCACTTCCTCCACGAGAGCGTCACGTAGAGGTGATGGGCATAGCTTAACTTTTATCTTTGCCCACGTATCTTGTTCGAGAGGAAACTTTCTCCGTCTCACTTTTTTGGGATCTAACTTTTTATGATGTGGCATGGTTTTACAGCAGTTCTGTTACCGAATCTCATAAGTTTTTCGACTTGCAGATAAAATTTACGAGAATCGAATGAGATAAGTTTTCTAACCGCATTATTTTCAATTGCTGAATTTCTTGCGTCGTGTTAATAAGCCAACATTGATACAAGGGACATTGACATACATGTTGGATCAAGTCAAACACCCTTGGGCCACACGCAAAAGGTGGCTGTCCTTTGTTGTCATCTTATGGCAAAAAGAGACAATTAGGAACTTGTTTTACTGGAATGAGAAAAGAGTTTATATATTTTCTGTTTGGAATCCTTCGTTCCTTTTGTCTAATTCCAACTGTAAAATGAAAGTACAAGACCTATTTGGCAAACAGTTCAGTATACTGACTTTGTTGAATTCCCTTGTATTTGGACTGATAAATAAGTAACACAGTTTCTGCTTCGCGTAATTTTAAGTTCAATTTCGTGATCTCAAATATTTTGCAAGCTCAGCGTCTCGTTGAAATCCAATAATGGCCAGGATGAATGCATACCTAGTCGTGTTTACCCCACCATTTGATACGACATTTGTTTATCGGGTTTTTCAGCGGAAATTTCTAGCCAAAGTCCACGCTAACGTCACTCTCTGTACTAAGTACTGACAAAGTTGAAATTCATAAACATCAATTTCACTGAAAATTTCATTTCTTTTTTTTTCCACCCCGCAAAAGCAAAAAGCCATTTAAATCGAATGAGTGATGGCCTACCAAAACAGCCACGCTCCTCGCCCACTAGGGACGTTTCGCCTGGAGAAACTCGGCGAGGAGCAAGGAGAGAGAGCGGTTTTCGCAGGCTAAATGACTGACGACAGAGGAAAGCTAACTTCATCTACAATGAAAACGCGTTCAATGCTTGGTTAATATTATAGCCATGTCCGATAACTGCTGAAAAAAACGAGACTTTATAACTGACACCATGTTGTTAACGCTGTCACGGTGTTCAAAGTCGAGTGTTTTCTGGTTCTATCGCGGTTCTATCCCCGTCAAGGAACTCGGACCAAGGCATGCAGCGAATGAATATTTTAGAAAATGTCTCGAATGAAAGGATAGCATTAAATGTCCTATTTACGTTATATATCTAAAGTTCCAGTTGACTTAGTGTACCATAATCGTCTGAAATCACCTCCCTTTGCAAATCCTCAAGCGTTGTGAGGTTATATTTTTCATAATGGTCCCCAAAAAATTAAGCAGGTTCTTATATGTGGGTAACAGGTAAATTATGATAAACGTTTTAGCCAAGGCGTTTGACTTCGAGATTGCCAATTGATCTTACAAGAAAATGCCGCACCAAACTGTCATTACAAATAGAAGTATTACTGTAATTCCTACAACGAAAACAGGTTTATAAAAAGTTCAGATTGTAATTCCCTTCATGTACTTCGCATCAATGAGGTTACAATAAGTACTGTGTATTTAAGGACCAATCTCAAGTTTCTTTATATTTCTGGTAGTCAACTATTATACCTCGTTGAGCGAAATTATGAACCTGATTAGGGACCTCCTTAGCCTAAATTGCCAATAACTACCCCAAAATAGAAGACTCGTTTTGGCCAGACCTTGAAACGGTGTAGGTTCTTATACGCGGGTGCATATTGTATTAATCAACTTTTCCTTTTTTCTGTTTTGTTCTACAGAGTACATTTGCAGTTAATTGCCCCAAAGGAAGTTATATTTCAAGTCGTGGCTGTACGCCATGCCCAGAGAACGAGTATTCAGACTATGTAAATAGCACAAAGTGCTGGAAATGTGATGCGTGTAAAGGAAGGCACAACCTTGTAACTCAAGTCTGCAACTCTACCACAAATACGAAATGTGCGTGCGAGCCGGGCTTCTACTGGGATGACGCCCTTTTCTGTTTAAAATGTGATCGCTGCAAGAGAGGTCATGGAATGGTCAAAAACTGCACATCTGACAGTAATACCGTCTGTGAACATTGTGAACACGTAAGGAGGGAATCGTATTATTCATTCTGTGTTTTTATAGGAGGCAGCGTGGTCGAGCGGTTAGGGCGCTGGACCTGTAATCCGGAGGCTGCGAGTTCAAGTCCCGCCCTGGCCGGTAAGGGGATTTGTCCTCGGTAGTCCCGAGTTCAAATCCTCGGCCACGCTTGTAAAGAGCCAACTTGTTCGCCTCCTGCCAGTTGGGATTCTTAAGATAATTACGTTCCCTTTGAACTATTGGACAGGTTCATTCTTCCCAAAAAGCCCTATATGGGGAGAGGATATACAGTCGACTCCCGATAATTCGAACTTTCAAGGGAAATCAAAAAAAGTTCGAGTTATCGGGAGTTTGAAGCAAATATCCGGAAGTAAGGAAATAAGCAAATGGATGGGAAAGAAAGGCAATTAAGCAACAAAGTATACAGGGATGGACGCTGAATTTGAACTGGAGTGAACAAAAAGGAGAGAGAAAGATTTACTCGGTTGTTTTGAAATAAATTCAATGTTTCGGACTTCAGTACACGGTTTTTTCCTGACTTGTCACGCGCTTATAACATGGTTCGAGTTATCGAGGGTAAGACTGTATAGAAATGAGCTGAAGGGAAAAAAAAATTACTTCGAGTTAGCGGAAGCTAAGGTTTGAGTAAACGAGGGTTCGAGTTACCGAGGATAAAATTACAGTAAATGTAAGAGGGAAATCTAGGGGGAATCGACTTTGGTTCTACTTAGCGCGAGGTTCGAGTTAGCGAGGGTTCGAGTTATCGGGAGTCAACTGTATTGATAAAGATTTAGATAGACTAAAGCTTCTGTTTTAGGACCTCTTTATCTTCAAGTTCAACTGATTAACCCTTTAAGTACCCAAAGTGGTCATATCCATTTTTTCCCAACAAAAACAACAACATCAGTACACAATCAACAGAAACGCTTATGAGAATTAATCTTTTAACAAATCCAACTTATTCCTTAAGGAAATGAATCAAGCACAGACTGGAGAATTTGTAAGTGCATATTGGGCCTTAAAGGGTCAAGGAAGATGATGATGATGATGGTGATGATGATGATGATGATTATTATTATTATTATTAATATTATTATTATCATTATTATTATCTATTCTGTCAAAGTCTTTGCTGGTTTTCTTTTTCTACATCACCCGGGTGCAAACCATGCACCTGGAGCATCAATCACTCAAGTCAATCATTCTGCTCATACACTAAGCACCTTTCTAAGGAGATCCCAGCATGCAGATCTCTTGGGTCTCTGTCACAGTAGCTCTCTCTAATACTTTCTTGATGTTTTCTACCATTCCCTTAACTGTACCAAGCTCACCAACATATTATTATTATTATCATTACGAATGTGCTTCCAAAAGCACTCTTAACCATCGCTGCTCTAGGATGATCATATTTCTTCATCAGTTTCATTTTTATTTCAGGGTAAGACTTACTCTGACAAGAAGGACTTTAACTCGTGCAAGAATTGCTCGATTTGTCCAGATGGCTATTTTGAACAGAGAAGATGTACTAGAAAAAACGACACCATTTGTCTGAAGGACACAGAGCAAAATAAATCTAAGAATAACTGGAAAATCGACAACCGTGGAAGGTCGTCTGGGTCGAGGCAAAGAGAAGGATCGAAACCAAGATTAAAAAATAAAAACAGCACACAATCGCCAATACAGCATTCAACTAATACATCAATCTTAAAAAGTAAGTGCAACCTTTGTTGTCTTTCTTCTAAGACATAGAGTCTGTCACATGTTAATTGAGAAGAATTCCATGTAGACGACTACGACGACGGTGTAAAACGTCGCCAATAAAATGAATTTACGTCTTTTCAAACTTAATCGCTTCTATTTGGACCGCTCAATTTGTCAAATGAAGGCACTTTCTCCTGACTTGAATATTTAATCCATCTTCAGGAAGAGAAAGGAAAATTCGTCCTCACATGTTTACGTCCTCAATAAAACGTGGTAGTCGTGTAGTGGACGTCAAAGATGTGTACTGAAAGGCATTATACACGTGCAGAGTTGTTAACCATAGCACGTGTTGGTCCGTTTAGACTTAGCATCCACGTACCTGTCAATTCTCGTAACCTATTCTTTTGACTATGTAGTGATATTGTTAGAAGGAACTTTCTCATCAACGATTGCATGACGTTGGGCAATCTTTGGACTTAAGGAGCTGTGTCACGACATTTATTAAAATTCTAACACTATGAACCGCCACCAAATTGAGGAAAACTTAAAAATAATCGCTCAAAATATTAAAAGAAGATACACATAGCACGGCAAATACAAAAGTAGGCATGGATGGACAAACCAGAAGAAGTTTAAAACGGATTGGAATTGTGGGTTTTTGAAAACTTGTTAGCCCGTAACAGTTTCTCAAAGTTCATTTTTGTTGTTTGTAACGTTTGTTACAATGCTTGGGAGGTATATTTGTTGGAAATGAAGCTGTGATTCTGTCGTTTACAAGTAAATTCTTCCTTAACATTAAGCTCAAAAGCGCATAAGAAAGAAAATCTGGATGGGGGTACCTCGATAACACTGAACACTTAATTTTTTGGCTTTGTAACATGAAACAGTTAAATTTTAGGCATTTTAAAACTAACAGTAAAAAATTGCTTGAAACAGTAATTTTTTTCTAGAACAAACAAAAGCGACTCCAAAAAGGCCAATATTATTTCGTTTAATATGTCAAGGAGTTACGACAATTCTGGATTATTTCTGAAGATTTCCGAAGGCTACCGACGACCCACGAAGACTGTCGAAAATTTCCTAAGACTAACGAAGAGGTCCGACCATTGCAGAAGATGCCCGGAGGACCCTCCAAACACTTCACTGTATTTTCTTCGGAAACAGTAAACATAAAAAATTGGCCAATTTAGAAATTATGGGCAAATAACACTAAACACTAAACCCCACTGGGACCCTCAAGAAAGCGCAATTGGCAATATTAACTGAAAAATGAACCAGACAGTTGTGAGAGGGTATTAATGGTAGAGAGAGTTGATTGTACATTCTTTTGCAACAAATGTGTTATTTTGTTTTAGCGATTGACGGATCTTCCTCATTAAAATCCATGGAGATGATAACCACAGGGACTGAAATGCAGCTAGTGATAGCTCTCGGTGTTGTGAGTGGTTTTGCCTTCTTGGTTCTTATAGTAACACTTTCTCTGATGTTCTTCATACGGAGGAAATCTAGAAAGTCCACAAAGGATACTGACAAAGGTGAGACTATCAACAGTGGTGTTAATGAAATTTTCCTACGAGGGGGCAAACAGATGGCAAACTAAACTTCGTGGTCTGTTTACCTTGTGCGCTACCAGACACGGTTAAATCTGTCGTAACTAATGAATTTACGACAACGCCAACTTCCCTAAATTCACAGAAAAGTAACATTGAACATTGTATGAAATATAAAACTAGTGAATCGTTTTCAGACGAACTAAAGTCAGACTTTGTTGAATTTAGTGCTCCTCTGTTTTGCGTATTTTTTGTTTGTCTTTTGTTAGTAGTTTGTCTTCATTTCTTGAAACGTTACATTCCATCGGGGTGAGGGTCTCTGAGCTTATACCCTAGATTACTGACAAAAATACGAAAAGGATAACAACAGGTTTTTCCCTACCTTATTGTAACGTTGTCCAAGCTACTGCCAAACAAATAAGAAAGCCTAGAATTATGGATTGTTCTGAAGAGCAAGGGCATGGTACAATACAGAGAGATCATTACATCTCTTTTGCATGCGTCTATTTATCCTTCGTTCGCCACTGACTTTTCATTTGTCTTTCATCAAACCTACAGAAAGAGTGGAGGATCCTACGCCGTCTGCCTCGGCTACAGAAGTCGCTCGAGAGAACCCTTACACATCTCTTCCGCACATTGGCACTGGTCAAGGTTGGTTAATTGTCAACTCTCATACTCTTGGTGGAATTTTTACAGCGGTCAAACGTGAAACTCGTGTGTAGCTCGTGTGTGAATATTGCTGGGAAATTGAAACGGGTAATCTTAAAAGGCTTCCTTAAGGCTTCAAACAAAGGGCATCCACAACGCCTAGAAATCGTCACTGTAGCATCATTCTACACTGTATTCTCTTTGCTTTGTCTCTTTTCGTACTTTTGAGACAACCATTCCGACCCATCTTTTTCACGGTCCATACTCATCCTGTCCATGCTCTTCTCCAATTTAGCATCTGTTTTCATCTTCCTATCTTTTTACACAAGGAATCCGAGAGCTGGACCACAACATTCAAATCGGTTCGGTTCCAGCTTGCTCGGCAATGACTGCCTCTGTCAAGTTCTCTGAGTCACAGAGGTTGATTTTACCCAGTTTCACCTGTAGGAAACAAAACGAATGACGTACCCGAAGTAACAGGTTCAAGAAGTGAGAAGATATGGAGGAACACCGCAACGGCTGAGGTCAATTGCTGCTGCCCAATTTTTACTTTGGTTAGCAAGAAACGCTGGTCCTTGCGTGGTGGAGGATGAAGCTTGTCTAAATCACATCTGGTATTTTTTTTAGTGGTCAGGTAGGGCGTCAAGCTTAATGGCCTACCACAGGTAACTATGTAACCCGGTACCCCTTGAACTTGTGCGGAGAGGAACGAGTGGAAGAGAAGAGTTCACCGATACCGCTGATCCAGTGGAGAAGTGGCAGAAGGGAGGTCAAACAAATCGGAAACGCCTCATCACAAGCGTGGATAAGTGTAATCCCCTTGGATAAATACAGCCAACTACATTCTTCTCCACTACATCGCTTGCTCTGAAAATACTTTGCCGATACTCTAAAATTTATCTCGTACTGTAATGAGGATAGTGTGAAGTTCTTAACGGTATATCGGAACTGGTCTTCTCTGCAACCTGGAGAATGGAGTTTGTTTGTGCCTTACAGCTTGCGAGAAAGAAGCCTTGTAATGCAAGCACACCAACTAACCTTGACAAACGGCGGAACTCATTTTAATGTGGATTGACGAAAAAGTGACGCTGGTTTGCTTGGTGGAATTCCAAGGATACCACGTGATCTTCCAGTCTGCAACTCATTCCCAACCAGTGCGATTGTATTAGATCCTTATTGTCCTTGGGAACACAAAGTAGTCGGTGCTGGCCAGGTTCCATGACGTATTTAACACTTTGGAGGATTGTGCGAACGGTTAAAATCTGAGTACCCTACGAGGTATTAAAGGGTCAAACGCATGACTCCTATCAGATCGCACTAAGTACGAGATGCCCTTTCTTGGACAACTTAAAAAGAAAGCCCTTTACTTTTCTAATGGAACTTTAATTTTTTTCCTTAACGTCAAGGAACAAAGATTGTGAACTTGCTGTCTTTGTTGAGGAATTGATTGTTATGCCTGCCTGCCTGCATACTCCAGTGGCCTTCTTGACTTTTGTCCCTAGACAACCAAACCATTCGCCTTGTGTAGGGGATTTTTCGTGGAGCACATTGCTGTCTTTTTCTTGCAAAAAGTGATCACTTTCTCCTCAAACCTCTTGGGTTACATGCAGTGAAACCCGTATTCAGCGGATCTGCCTTAAGCGAGCACTTTATCAAGTGCCGACATTCATTTCCCTCAATGACTGAAACACTGACCTGTGTTGAGTGGTCACCTTTATTCGGCAGTCACGGTCACCTTTTCCGTGGTCCAAACAAGCTATTTTCTATTGCCTTCACCTCTATGAAACGGTCACTTGGTCAAGATGTACCACACAAGTGCAATAGATACAACGAGCATCACATTCAGCGGACTTTTCATCCTTTCTTTTGGCACAAAAACGGGTAGAAACACTTTGAGTCCAACTTGACAAGTTTTGGATATTTCGCTTTGTCATCAACTTTATTTTCTTGATAAACTTTAGGGTCTGTCAAACCTTTATTAAGTGGTTTGTTGGCTGTTCCCCAAGGTTGACCGTGTGAAGCAAAACTGACTATACCGTCTCACAGTGCAATCTAATGTCTGACAGTCTTCGTCGTTGTCGACGCATGGAGTGGATTGTTTAAAAACGCGTCATTTGTCTTTTGAGCTTGTCAATATTTACCTGATTGGTTGTCACGCTCTTAGCCGTTGGTTTTCCTTTCCCGTCTTCGTAACAGCTTTATGTGTGAAGTACATCTGTATCCTTCCCATTCGTAGACAAACAGAAACTTGCATGTGTTTTTACGCTTGACCGCTGTAACCTGTATCGCATGGAATTTACGCGACATTCACTGTGCGCCTTTCCACCTTTGTAACATACAAAATTTCGATTGAAAACAACGTGTAGAATATCAGTCGGGGCGAAATAGCTTGAAACGGGTAATACGCTTTTTTTAAACTAATCTTTCTCTTTTGCTTAGAAGTTCTCATTCACACGCATATTTTTCTATGTCGCGTAGATTTCCTGTTGAAACCTGCAATGTAATGTAATGCCTTTTGACTGTTAAAAGGGCATTTAGTAGCTAATATGCGAGGTTGACACTTCTAGCATTGGTCATCTTGCATACGTCTTGCTCTTTAGCCGTAAATCTGGTCATGGCCAAAGTCAGTCCTTCGCTTTGTAGACTCTTTCCTTTACAGTCAGTCGGCGTGTTTCCCATTCGCTTGAGTTAAGCTGAGTCACGGTTTAGGCTATGTAAGTTAGTTACAAGGAAGTAAATGTTGTGGTTGAAAATTTTGAGTTTGAAATTTTCCAACCCAGTTTAGTAGAAAATAAATAGCAAACTGGTTTCGAATATTTCAAACCCCCCAAAATTTTAACCACAACATGTAATAGCGAAAGACATTCTAAACCTGACGTCTCGAGAGCTGGCCCATCGTAAGCATTTTGGGGTGCTATGCTCTAACCGCAGTTCATTATCCCCTTGTTTTACCCATTTGTCTCGAAACATATTTCTGTTTTCGGACGCCATATTTGTGTGGGGGAAAAAGCAAAAGTAACATTATGTTGTTAGACATCATATCTAAAGGGTTTTAAAAGAATTAAATTTTCCAGTCCCTCTAGCTGCCCTTGTCACGGTGTCCCAGTTGAAACTGCACACGAGGTAGCGGGAGGGCCGTTTTTCGGAACGGGGTTTTATGTTTTCAAAAATGCGAATGCAGAACGTTCACTGTAGTTTTGCCGTTTTAAACTCCCACATCAAATATGACGCCAGAACCCAGTAGTGACCAGTCAGAGGGACAAGTATACGTTTCATTCCTTTACTTATGCAGCTGAAGTGTCACCGTTTCTTTAGATACTAATTCTTTATGCAATGCTAAGTAAAACCACGCTATCTGTACTAACCATAACGTAATTTAAGGTTTGACTGTTTAGACTTGGAATTCTGTTTTTGCTCTGTTGTACCTTTGGAAGTGGGGTCCTGCACGTTTGGAGAGACTTTTGGCGGAGTTGTACCTTTTATTTCTTTGGCGCCTTCAAGTACCTGCTTATTCTTGTGCTTCGTCCTGGCCTTCATCATCCACACTATCAGCCAAAGCCTCGTCTTCGGGCTCATGGAATGTCTCTTTACATAGCAGAAGCCGTTATATCCAGCGATGCAAACAGTTTTGAAGAATCGAATGTGTTCGAATCATTTGCAAATGCTGATTTCCTTATCGCTGGCAAGTGTTCCTGGGAAACTGAAAAAAGTGCTGTACCTTCCAGGGTCACGCTCAAGAAGAGATCTGCCTGTGGTACTTCCTGACTTGAAAGGAAAGATGATCTCATTTGATGCACCGTAATGCCATCTGTAAGAGCTTCAAACTCGATTGTCGTACCAACAAAAACAACGAATTCAGGATTTGCAAACAGTACTAGGTGGTCATTAGCTAACTAGGAAAGTCAGCACCTACCTCTCAACTCAAAATCATCCGAAGACCTTGCCTCTCTTTGGTTTATTCATGTTTTGACGATTTGAACCTGTTTGGCCCTGTTAGGAAAACCAGCAACCCATGACAAAGTGTACCTTCCGCACTTTCTTTCACTAGCTTTTGTGCCCAGGCCAGTCCTGTTTTGCCTTTATTCCTTCTAGAATCATCGTTTCTAGGTTATTGGTATAAACAGTACTTCCTAGTAGCTGGTAAACAAAACCGAATGGAACTGTGCAGCTACATGAGGGCCATGGAAATCACTGGAACAATATTTGTACTCCTGTACACTTATCAATTTGGTGAGATTATCAAACTAGCTTTCTAAATGCTGAGGTTGGGACCACTTCAAGATGGCATTGCGTGGCACAACTTGTTCGTCAGACTTTTAACTTGTCGAGACATGGTTCACAACACTTAACCTTATGATCCACATCAGGACTTAGTAGAAGCCGCGCATCACGAGCAGCGTTCACTTCAAGCTTGTCGCTGGTCCTGCAGAACTTTTTAAACTACACCAAAATATTCTTCTTGAATCCAACCAGGATTCCCCTGTGGGCACGAATCTCTGGAGATAAATTCGATAATCATTAGTGGTAATACGGCGTATGCTTTTCAGTACCTCCTGGAGACGAGTATCACGACATTACAGAATCAAGATGCCCGAATCACTTGGTTTCTTCCTATTTCCGTAAATAGTCAACAGAAAAGAGTTGGTAGTTTCATTTATCCTCAAAATTCCTTCCCAGAGGCTCACTAGTTGTTGCCAAGTTATTGTCCAATCCAAGGATCACGAATGTTTGGAATTCGAATGTTGGTTTGTTGTCAAGAGGCCAGAGGCATCCTTATGGTACATTACACCTCTGTTTTTTTTTGCACTTCAGCTGTGGCCAACGTCCACGCGTGGAGCACACACGTTTCCTTTGGATGTCCTTTTACCCAATTTTATAGTCTAAACGGTTTGCTGCGGCTGAAACAACTTCTCTTCATCTACACACTGAAAACGGCTGGGGCTTTTTCCGTGCCTTAACGTCAAAAAGCTGGCACCCCAACTTCAAATTTACCCTCATTGCTGCTTTTGGCTGGCTGAGGTTGTGGCTGCCCATTTAGGAAGTCTCTCTGTGTTGGGTAAGGTCAAGTTGTTGTCCTATTGCAATGAAGTGATTATGGCGTCTCCAAGGACCTAACTTAATGGCTATACTGCATAACCCACTCCTTGTCTTTTATCCAATTGTACAGTCGATGGTAGCTGACTCCCTCTCCCTTCAATTTCAGGGCCTGGGGAAACTGGCCCCCCAAGCAGACCGACAGACGAAAGTGATTGTTCCCAACCTCATCGGCAAGATGCAGGTAGTCCAACAAATCGATGCCTTTGTTCCCTTTTTGATGGGATACCCACATCAACTCGTCGAAATCATCAATCCGCTCAACGCAGATATATTGCGTTTTGCAAGGCTGAGGGTAGGACGACTCCCAATGGCTCCCCGCTCCCAGCAGACGAACGGACTCTGATGCATTTTTGTACAAGGCTGGTCGACAATATGAATCCGTATTCCTCCATTAAATTACACTTGTCTGCCGTGCGTTCACTCCATATGGACAATGGTTTATGTGATCCTCTGCTCAACTGCCATCAGTTGGAATATCTTATTAAAGGAATTAAGCAAGTGGAGGGTTCGTCCAGTCCAAGGCGTCTTCCCGTTACGATTGATCTAATGAGGATAATCCACCAGTCTTTGGATTTTACTTTCCAGGACAATGTTATGTTGTGGGCGGCATGCTGCCTTGGTTTCTTTGGTTTTGTAAGGACAGGCGAATTCACTGTTAACGGATCATCCTTTAATGCAGAGACTCATATGACCATCAGAGACATTGAAGCCGATTCAGAGGTCAATTCCTCTTTCCTAAAAGTGCACATAAAGCGCCCTAAGATGGAGCCGTTTCGTAAGGAATGCGATGTTTACGTTGGTAGAGGTGATACTTGTATGTGTCCACTTGAGGCTATAATCAACTACTTAGAGGCTCGCGGATCGACTTCAGGGCCCCTGTTCCTACATCTCGATGGCACACCATTAACACGGCAAACGTTGTCGTCGACATTGAAGTCCATCCTTGACTCAGCTGGGTTTTCAAGTGCTCACTCAGGATACAGCTTTCGGATTGGGGCAGCTGAAACTGCAGCTTCACGGGGCGTTTCCGGTCATCTCATCAGAACGCTAGGGCGACGGTCCAGTAGAGCCTACGATGATTACAGCAGAACTCCTGTCTGTTCGATTCTTCGTGTTACCAAACAAATACTTTAGCAGGTACGAATCGTGCGGTCTTTGTGTGGACAGTGGCCGTTAAAAACTGCTTTAAATGATTTCCATCCCCTGGGCACCAAGTCTCCACCGACACTAATATTTTAACCTTGTTTTTAACTGTAACCTTTTTTCCTTCCATCCGTCAAACCATGGAACTAATCAATTTAATTTTTACAAAAATATCTGGAAAAACCATATTAACGCTGGTAGTGGTTTTGTCTTGGTGCACGCTAGCATCGATTTACTTGGATGTGCTTGATATGGGGTAGCCAAGTCTTGGCCCTTTGTCGCGTGACACTAAGGTCTCCACCGAGAGCTTGGTGTTGGATGACACAGAAAGGTCCAGGACTGGAGCAGATAAGGTTAGAGTAGCGATAAGCACGGCTGTGGATCAATGTAACGTTAAGAAACTTTCTATTTGTTCTTTGCAGAAAAAATGCTCCGCGATGCACCATATACGCTCATCAGCGACCTTGCCAAACTTCTCAACCCTGGGGGTAGATGGAAAGAGCTTGGAGGTCGTCTTGATTTTAACAATACGCAAATAGGCAACTTTGCGCTAGTGCAACAGAATGCCACACAAACAATGCTAGAAGAATGGGGCCACAGAGATTGTGGGACAGTCGTAGCCCTCCAAAAACTATTTCGTTCAATGAAATGGACAAAAGAAGAAAGAATATGTGCAGAGTATGTGTAGCGCTGCTTTTCGTGTTTTCATCCGTCCGCTGATTTCTTACGTCATTCTCAAGAGTAGTGAGAAAACATTTTTGTCGTTGTTGTCTATTCCTCGTATACGTGGCCTTCTACGTGTGTATCTCCCTTTATTTATTGGATGCATCACTCAAGAAATGGGTAAAAGAGGAAATAATGAGAGCGTTCGTGTAGTGTACTCTCTTCTTCAATGTGTTAGCCGTGCGTTTTTTAATGTTTTCAGGAATTTTAGCAGTCACGATTTTTCATTTCCCTTTGTCCAAAAGGATCAAACAGTACTCTGGATTATAGAATTGTGATCTCTAAACCACTGACAGTGTTTAAAACTGTGAAAAGCTTTACTTAGGGTGCATTTTGGCTGATAACATGCATGCGTACATTTTTGATGGATTCCCCATTCTCGAAGACTTTATAAGGGCTGTCAAATAATGGCAGAAAAAGGTTACAAGAAAAACGAGAGAGCCCCTGGAAAGTTACTCCCCATCGAGTCAGTTCCAGAAGCTTTTGAATTCTCCAGTTCGTTTTGGCCAGAAGATGTTTTCAACTCAATCAGAAGTGAGGGTTCGTTTTTGTCGTTAACTTTGCCATTAGCGATTAAGCCCGTAAATATCCCGCCCCCGTGTCTCCGAGAATGTGGATTCCCAGTTCAAAGTAGCTTAGTCGTTATTTGGAACTGTTTGTTTTCCCTTTTGGGCATGTTTTAAAAATGGAAGGTCGTGGCTTAGTCTCAATCAATACGCTTCTAGCGATAACTTATGTACAGTGCGTCTTAAATTCTCGTGTATAATTTCTTAATTTATTATTACTTCGCGCTTGTCAGTGGTTTTAAATGAAACGGAAGAGACTTTAGAGTTCTTTGTTATTGAAAATAGCTCTCAGAGAATATTAATTTTTCTTTAGAGAAAGTGCTTTGGGTATCTACGCATTTGGCTAAGAAACAAATGAAATAACTGGTATTAAAATACCGTTTAGTAGTCACGTAGTTGACAAAACAATGATAATTTGTACTGCAACCGCTTGAAACGGAATATGCCTCTCCAAAAGCTACAGGGACATTTGAACAATGGGATTCCAGGGATCAATTTAGTAACTGAAGATAGTTTTAATTGGCCAAAGGCGTCCAAAGGTAACGATTAGCCAATCGCAGTTTTCACCTGATTCTGATCGCAAAGGCCTGGTCTTTAGTCTCCCTTAAACTTCCCCAAATTTCACTCCGCATTTCAAAAACGAATAGTGACAGCTGAAATGTAGCACTACACGAGTTGGATCACAGAGCTATCACAAAAAATTAATATTGAAGTCTGATGAAATGGCCATAACTGACTGAGTTATACTTTTGTAAGGGCAAGATCAAGAAATGAGAGCACTTGTTAGAAAAAATAACATAATGGGAACTGTCCGTCGCTTCGAACTCATTACTCATCTTGTATTATGATTTTCTTTAAAAAGCACTCATAGCCTGATGAAAGATTCTTTCTTTGCAAATAGATACTTATAGCTTGGACAGTTGTTTTTCTCAATAAATAATGCACAGTTAGTCTTTGCAAAATCTATATTTTGGAAAATTTTGCACAAATAATAGAATTTTCTTATACCGAATTATTTTGCCTTAGTCACGGCCACGTTTGAGGATAAATTGGTACCGTTAATAGTTGTTGTGAAGTTTTGGATTCATGAATATATTTTAATGTTGAAGATTGAATTTTGAGGAATTTTCTGAAAGCCAAAAACGATTCGTTATTTTATGCGATATAAATTGATAATTATACAATGTTTAAGAGGAGAATATTTTTGAAAGAAAGTGAGAGGGTTTCAGATAATCATATAATATTGAAAGAATAATATTGTGTACAACATAAATCCTGCCAATGGGATGATTTTATACACAGGCAAATGTTAGGCCAAAGATATTTTGTAAAGAACTGTAAAAATTGAAAAACATTCTTACACATAGTTTGTGCGATTAGGACTTATCTAGTGTTAATTAAGTTACTACAGCTGAAAAGCACATTATTCAAAATGGTTTTACCTCGGTGAAAGGTAAACGTTACTCTCGGTATTGCTCCCTTAGTTGTTCTTTTCTATTTCTGTACTGTTCTTGATCAACTTTGTTTAGAGCATCATTAGCAGTTGTAACACCAAAGTAAAGCCAAAAAATTTTCTAACGTTCTTAGAATTTACTTTTTCCTAAGTAATTAGCCTCTTGTTAATGGTTCTCTGTGGTTGGGCTTTTCCCATCAACCTCATGTCTCCATGGAATTGCCAAAAAATGTTATGGTATGTCATCCGAGTTTTCCTTTGTGGTTTAATTTTACCAATGGTTCAAATTTCATTTGTTTTTTACTAACGTTAGGTATGGTAGTGTATTATAATTAGTTTCAAATAGAGGAGAGTAAAATTTGAACCAAAAATAAAAAATTTAACCACAACATAAGCAAGGCTAGGGATACATAACCACAACTAATTTTCGTCCTATCCAGCAGCACTGTCAGTGCATCTTTTGATTAGCTTTTGCATTAAGGTGTGATCATTCTAAGCTGAACTTCCATCTAGAGGTGAAAAGTAGTCCTAATTTCAGACAGAAACGCAATTGTCTCTCTCTTTATTTTATTTTTACTTTTTTTTCTCACTCAAGGAGATGTGGGGTTGATGATCATTTTGTTTCTTAAGGTTTTCTATTACCTGCCACAAATAAAACGCTTTTTAAAAAGGAAAGGTTTTATTGACTTGGGAGGATTAAAAATCTTATTTAAAATACCTAATTTATTCACCAGGCAGTCGTTTTTGCTTGGACATTTAATGCAAAAGTATTTAAAATCCAAAAATATTTTTGCCATATTCAATGACAATGTTATTATGCTGTTGTAACTATTAGCATTAAAAAGATGTTCAGATAAACTTGTCTCAGTGTTTGTCAATATGGGGGGAATGGGTTGGCTGGTTGTGCTGTTCTTTCTTGGTCATACATTACTTATGTACTGAAGTGGGGGATCATTTTCCAAACTTTCTTTGATTTGAGGGGGTCATTCACCCAGGGGGGGGGGGTCTCCCATATGAAAGTGACGGGGATGTTTGTCAGAAAATTAAAATTAAATCCCCAAGGGAGACCAATGTGGGTGTGGCTCAAGCTTACACTGAACCCTGAAGAAAACCATACTAAAAAATACATCACGGTATTTTTGTAGACTTCTTCATGCACAGCCCTAAGTGACACCTGAATGGGCAAGTACAGTGACTTTCCGTCCCAAACATCCTAAGTGAGACCAAAATCTGCAATTTACGTCCCCAAGCGAGACGATGGGTATTCCTTTATTTTTATAATAGGAGTTCCCCCTCGGGTCATTCCTAATACATCTTAAGGAAATTCTTAAGCCAGTGTCTGCTTTTTGTAATATTAGAATATCACTTCACATAATTTTGTTTTCCCATGAACTGGAGCCTACCTTATATACACATCTTCAACGTTTATATTGAATATGCTATTACAGGACCCTTATTGATAGCAGTTCAGTTTTTATTCTGAAATGGTCATCCTGTTTAAACATGTTATTATTATTATTATCATTATTATTATTATCATTATTATTATTATTATTATCATTATTATTATTATTATTATGAAGCACAGATGACTATAAAGGGTCTTATATTAAAGCACAGCAAAGTGTAATCTCTAACTGTTACATTAGATTTTATTTAATTTTCCCTAGAGAGGCGCTGTTAGGGTAATGATACCTTCTGACAAGTGACATGGTCTTGAAACTGCTACTAAGGCAAATGAAATGGCAACAAATGACAGAGATGCATTTCAAAAACCGCTTTAATACACTAACACACACAAGTGAGATACTGACAGCAAGTGACATGACTTGCTCCTTAATACAAAGACATATATACCCCCACCTCTCTTGTTTCTACAGTGGCGAATAGATGGCTAAACCGAGGGAGCAAAATTGCCCCGGTGACGAGATTTCATCACAAAGTTCAGGAGGAGCAGCACGATAGGCAGGGTGATTTACTGTCCTGTTTTAGAGAACGAGTGGCGGAGGAGGCTAGGTGTGGCTCAAATCACACATCAATTTCTTCGTTCTGCCTTTGAGCTTAACAAATAGCTCTCGTCAATTATCAGCATTACTGCAAAGTAAACCTCCAGGACGGTTATTTCGGGTCATTTGTGTCTACAAGTCCCTGGTTCCTGTGACAACTCTAACCCTTTAACTCCCATCGGGGCCCCCGTCACTTTATAGGAGAGTCCCCCACACCCCTACCCCCCATCCCCTGCCAGGGATTAAGCAATTATTAAAAACTCTCCTCCTAGAAGGGATCAGGCGGAGAATCCGGCGAACAAAAAAAATTGGAAGAGTTAATTCGCTCTCCATGCCCCTTATATTATTGACATCCTCATTTTAATTAATAAAGGTACCTTGACACGGACAGTTGGGATAATAGTCTTAATATCTGAAGTTTTAAGTAGAAAAGTTAAGCTTATATTAATCCGTAAAAGCTCCAAACCTGGAACAATTCCAAATTTCAACTGGAAATACCGTCAAAAGGTAAGTTGCGTGACACTCACCTTTCAACTTTCGTGACCACCAGCGAAATCGCGTGACATTTTCTTTCCCAGTGTCATCGTGCAATCAATGGAACGCCTGACATATTTATTGACGCAAAGAAAGATTTTCTACAACAGTATTGTTTGTGCGTTAAAATTCGGTCACTGCGAAGTCAAAATGAGCCGTGCCCATATGCTATACGATAATAAACCACTGGATTCGGTTCCTGTGAGTCCCGTACGGTGGGATAAACGCTGGGAACCTGAGCAAATATTCCGTCTACAAAGGTTTGCTTTTTAAGTTATAGTAAGCCAGCGACTAAGAGCGAGAGACGACAACGTTGTGATTTATATAAAACTAAAAATCGTCAAATCGTAAGTATCTTTCTTCCAAGGAAAATTGTGAATGGATGGAAACCAGCAGAAATGATGGGGTTCTTGCAAGCACAGAGTGAATCCATCATGCCTAGATGAGATGTCGGGTTTTCTTAATATCTTTTGTATCATGGAACTTCAGCGAAACCAGTGTAAAACCAGTTTTGTTTACGAGTACATCTACCATGCATATGACGATATGTGTCATGCCTCAAAGAAGTCCTTGCCCTCTAATTACCGCAATAAAAAGCAACAAAGCAAAGCAATTTTGGAACCCTCAAATAAAAGTTGTCATTTCACAAAATATATCAAGTTATTTGACAATGGGCTCTTATTTCAGGGCAAAAGATATTAGTCTTTGCTGATGACTATCTATAATTTCTTGCACCAGTAACCTGTGAGTTTTTTTTTCCTTTAAGCACTGGAGGTATTATTATTGAGGGAACATTACATGGGAGATTGAGATTTGCCATTACAGACCCTTTCTCTGGTACCCAAAAGGTATTGAGATATGTTATTATCTAACGAAAATACTTCCAGGAAGTTTGTAATTTTGCAGTGTTTTAGATTCTTATTTTTTGTTCCTGCAATACAACTTCTGTATGCTGCCCATGGTTCTAGCATCATTTCTGATGAAAAATTAATATTATTTTGTCTTGAAACAGTGGAGGTATGTTGTATTGCATATAGAGATGTCCAAAGCATTCAAGAGGAAGTTTGATGCAAGCTCTGGAAGGGAAATTGAACCAAACTATGGAAAGGACAAGAAAGTCAGCACTGGTTATTTAATGTCCTCTTACAGTAAGTTAGCCAATAAAAATTAATATTAGATCATATTTATCCTGGCAGGTGAAAGTACACCCCCCAAAAAAAAAAAAAAATTAAAACATAGTATTGTTAATTTTTGGTAAAAGTGTCTCGATAAGCTCATTCCATAAAGTTTGATCCCTTTCACCTGGGCCGGGTTGTTCAAAGCTGGAAGAAAATGCTTTTGAACAAAAGAAAAAAACGTAACAGATTAAAATTTAACCTCAGGTTTAGTAGGGCTAAATGGTCTTCGAACAACTGGGCCCTGGAGGTGAAATGCATGCCTGGGCGGGTTTGGGGGTGGGCAAAGGGGGTAGCGGCCACCCATTTACCTTTGACATTTCGTATTATTCTTGTAGAATTCCATCTCAGGAAAAAAAAAGTATCTAGAATAGAGCCATTGAGCGTTCCAGCTGCGCCTACTGAAATGCATCCCACAATTGTTTCTGGGATTGATACTGTGGACGTGCTGGTCAGCTGTTGGCCAATATTAATTTTTCCCCTGTCCCTTGTAACAATCCCAGAAGTCTTTGCAAAAGATATCTTGACCCAGTAGCCTTCTTATTTCTCAAAAAGTGGCAAATACAGGATCATTGGTGCAATTCTGAGGGTGCGATTGAGAAGGTTATTGAATGGTGGTGGGGGGGGGGGGGGGGGGTGGCAAACCAATAAACCATTCATGAGGGGAATTTGGTTTTTTTTCTGGAGCAACATGTCTTCCATTCTTTACAGGTTTATTTGCACTCTCACACACAAAAACACCATAATTTAAGTACTATCCCATCTAATAGCCTGGGGTTAGCCTCCCGTGTGGACATTCTTGGGGATTCATCACAAGTTTCTTTCCCAAGGGGAAGAAACGTTTGACAAAGCCCTAAGAATATCCATATGGCAGGCTAGCCTGGGACTAGTAAGACAACCCACTGAGCTATTTTTCAACTGTTGTATTTTCATGTAGAAACTAGCACAGCACAAGACTCTGATAAAATTAATGTCACTGAAGCAAAGAGGATGACCACAGTGTCAGAGTTAGAAAAACTTACAGAGAACAAACTACCCGAGAGGGGCAGTGCAAACCAAGCATTCTGGTGTGAAGAAAAAGATTTAGAAAAAATAGAACTGTTTCAAGGAGACCATGTGAGATTAAAAACCAAAGGGGGAGGTCCACTTATTGGTAAGGAATAGTTAAAGAAATTATTAAATTTTTCTAGCCATATTAGTTAAATACAAAGGTGTTCTAAATTGCTTAAAGTGATTTCTTTGGTTAAATTTAATGCTCATCCAGCTGACAGTCTAATTTATTGCCCATGTAACAAGTTAATAAAAAGGTTTGCTTCATGGCACATGTATCTCATGGTCTATACAGCCTTATTGGGCCATAGGAATGCCATTTAAATGTTTAAATCTCAAGTGGAATCTTAAGCCTTAGATGGGTGTTTCCTCTGTATACTGCTGTGGGCCACAGCTCTTAAACAATCAGTGAAGAATGAGAAATTGCCCATTTGTTGAAAATTTAAAGGTATCTTGTCATTCCTTTAAGAGTTTATAGTGAAACTCAATGAGGAGAGTGCTACAGTCACAAATTACACAGGGGGAGAGGGAACGGGCAGTTCATGGACAGACAAGGTGATGTCATTCAAAGGGCAACAAGAAAATACACCAGATGAAGGAGAGGGAGCTGCCGATGATGAATGGGTGGGTAACTACACTGTAGATCAACAATATTAGTAAACCTGTCAGCTCAGGAAATGGACAAAGAGGGGAGGGTGGTTAGGCATAGTAACACGGTTTACCATTTTCATTAAAGGTTCCAGTACCTATCGAAGCAAAAGCTGTTGATTTCTTCGAATTGCTGTTCGGAGAACCAGTTTTTTATCTCATTGTGGAAGAAACAAACCGTTATGCAAGGCAAAAGTTGGCTCGATCAGCAGCAAGGCTCACAAAGTGGACAGACGTAAACAAACAAGAATTGAAGGCTTATTTTGGCCTTTGTATTATCATGGGAATCAATACCTTGCCACGAATCGCCATGAGCTGGTTCTCCAATCGCTATATTGGCAATATAGGAGTTCAGGAGAATATGACAAAGAATCTCTTTGAGGAAATCAGCCAATATATGCATTTTAGCGATTCAACCCAAGAACCGCAACGCGGAGATGATGATTACGATCGCTTGTTCAAAGTTTGCCGAATTATGAACATGGTTTTGAGTAATTTCAAGCGAGTTTACGATCCTTCAAAAAATACGTCAATCAATGAAGGAATGATTGCATATAAAGGCCGCCTTTCCTTTCGACAGTTCATGCCAGCTAAGCGAACTAAATACAGCATAAAAGTTTGGATGGTTGCCGATGCAAAAAACGGTTACATCTCAAATTTTGCTGTTTACCTCAGCCAAGCAGAAAATAACCACGGTCTTCGCTACGATGTTGTCATGAAAATGACAGCACCTTTTTTAAATAATTACAGGCACATTTTTTCGACAATTTTTTCACAAGTACGAGGCTTCTTGATCACCTTTTTGCCCAAAACACATATGCATGTGGAACGGTGCGTTGTAATCGTAAGGACCTGCCACCTTGCACGAAACACAAGCTAAGGTTAGAAGAAATGGCTAGGGCTCAATGCGGTCAATTTGTTTTTACTAAGTGGCACGACAAGCGAGATCTTGCTTTTTGTTCAACTAATGTTTCTCCTGATGAGCCCTCCCGACCGGTTCCCCGCATTCATAATAGGCAAAATGTGAATATTGTAAAGCCAAGAGTTTCAGATGTTTACACCGCTCACATGGGCGGTGTGGATCGTGCTGACCAGCTTCGTTCTTTTTATTGCTCTGGGTGGCAGTCAAAAAAGTGGTATAGATACATATTTTGGTTTCTTTTTAATGTATCTGTTTGTAATGCTTTTCTTCTTGAATCAGAACACATTGGATCGAAGCATGAATCGGTATATTTCAAACTTGACCTCACACAACAACTAATCGATGGTTTTTCGCAACAAAAACGAAAGCGTAGGTCAAACGAGGTTCCACCAAACCACGCTGTCCCTCAAGATCAGCATGTTTCAGTTCATATAGAGGGCAGAAAAAGAAAATGTGTTTAATGCATAGAGAGTGGGCGAAGAACGCCCAAGGCAGGGGCGGATCCAGGATTTTTTTTAGGAGGGGATGCACTCGTCTCTTGCTCTGCTTCAACACCAATAAACCACAAAGTTTTTTTTTTTTTTTTGCAGAATACCAGTTGTATTAGAAAACCCCGGGTCATCTCAGGGGGGGTGCATACCCCCTGCATCCTCCCCCTAGATCCGCCCCTGCAAGGGCTACAAAGTGGAAACAAGATACGAGTGTAGCATTTGCAAAGTGGCACTGTGCCGAACCGGCTGTCACAATGACTTCCACTCAAGGTCATAAAGCTTTCTTATTTATGAACACAAATCTGGCGGTATGAGCCATTCTATTATATTTTTTATACATTCTGACAATTTCTCTTGTTTTTCTGTAAAAAAGTAAGCTATATTGTGATAGATTTAGAAATAAATTCTCATTCAACGTTTGACAATAGACACTGGAAATGGCGGCAAATTTGAATTTTTTTCATTACTTGCAATTTTATCTTAGATATCTTGTGAATGCAGGGAGATTTGTCTTTATTAATTCTTCAGACAAATAAATTGACTACTTGGCTTCATGATTGTGTAGTTTATTGTGTGAAACAAGGCTCTGAAATCTACTGAGCAAGCATGTCTTCATTGAGTATCACAACCATCTTTGATCCTTGATAATTGTTCAGGAAGCTGGGGGGTTTGGGGGTCATTAGCCTATAGTAGTGAAAGGGTTAGCACACGAGTCATGTGTGATTTTCCTTCCCATTAACTGCAGTCTTCAAGGTGTGTAACACTAATGTCTCTGTATAGCTGTATTTTTGTCTTATTGTTATTATATTTTTTTGCCAGCATTGTCAAGGGTTCTTCGATAATTAATTTGTATTTTTAGTGGCTGTAATCTAAGCAATGTATGTTGACATTTGTTTGGATGTTTTGTGTTTTGTAGCTCTGTGGTGGTTTTAAGTAATTTGTAGCTTTTGTATTATTTTATTATTTCAGAGTGAAAAAAATTAACAAAAGTTGTTAAATTACGAAAAAAATGTCCACTTGCTGGTTAAACCTCCACTTGGAAGCATCGCTATAAACCAATTTTTATGCTGAATTTCTCAGTAAAAGAAAGAAATCCACATTTAGGGAATAATTATTCATGAACGAACTGAATTTCTCTGCTGATTTTTCTTTAGGATGACTGACTTACACTGCAGCTGTACTACTCAATAAGACACTAAAGGAATGATTCTGAAGATGTGTCTACCAGTAGCAAGACAAGAAGAAGACAAGAAACAAAAATTAATTTGCTGTTTTTGCTGTCAGCCCAGTCTTACAGATATTGTAAAAGATAGGATACATTAATTTCAAATACCAGTGCCTTAGCAATGATCAAACCATGGGGTAAAAGTATAGGATGAGCAGTTTTTTTTTAAATTCTGAGGTTTGACATTACTATTGCAATGTTTGAAACAAAGTTATATTTGGAAGCAAAACCATCCTGTACAAATTATTGTTTGTCAAAAGTTTTCAAAATTTAGTTAAATGTCTGGTGGACAAGTCTTTGTGTTATCATGCTTGTCGGAACAATGTTATGTTCGTCTCAGACCACCTGATGGCTGCTAATATGGATCCCTGTCTTTATTGTCCATCTCAAAGCATCTTTAAAATTAATTTTATTTATAATAACCAGAATTAATAATAAATTGTTTAAAAATAATGGTCAAATATGATTAATAAGGGAAGTGACTAGTTCACTCTGAATAAAATAACTTCAAAGTCTTATGGCAATTTTTTTAATAAATTAGTTAGAGCCGAGGCAATCATACTGAGAGCACCAGCTCACTAGGGACCTATTGAAAATTGATTTTTCAATAAGCATTTGAAATTATTATTTTTTTGTGAGTAATTCCATGCTTAGTTCCTAAAACCTAGATATGCTTTATAATATCCTTAGACAGAGCCCTGTGGAATGTCACAAACCTAACACAAAAAAAATTTGGGCCAACCACCACATTATAGTAGGCCTGACAACACTGCAAACTACTCTCTCTCGTCTTGTACACATGCAGGAATTTGAGTAGAGGATGGATTTTTATTAGCACTTAATGCTGTTGTGTGAGTGCAGAAAGTTGGCTTTTTACATTAACTTAAATTGACAAAAAAATGGAGGCATGTGTGGCAGAGTGCTTAACACCTCGAACTCTGGATCTGGAGGTCCAGGATTCAAGCCTCACCCGTCGCATTGTTTCCTCAGACAAGGAACTTTACTCCACTTCACCCAGGTGTATAAATGGGTACCAGCGACATACTACTGAGTAGTAACCCTGCAATGGGCTAGCATCCCATCCAGGGGGGAGTAGCAATACTCCTAGACATGCTTCATACAAAGGAAACCGGGATAAGCTTTAACCATTTGGGCATTTGGCTGGCATGTGCCTTCGCCCCTTACCCTTAAATTGACAATATATACAATTCCCACATTCCTGTGAACACAGACACCAACTAAAGCCTTGGGGTGACAACATACAGAGTTTGTCCTTGAGCTTCTTTCATTGTGTGTGCTAACTAAAACAGAGTGGGAGAAACGGAGTACAATGTTTTACACTGTAGAAAACGTTTTGGCTGTTTATCCTGCATCATGAATAATTATAATAAATGTTATTATTATTTTAATACACTTACTGTGGTTCATATACACTATCATCATAGGCTTATCAGCTCTAGATTCAGCCATTCATTGACAGTACTGATTTTTATAAACACCTAGAAAGATCGAAACAAACTCAAGTGCTTTGCCTAGGAACTGAATTATTGCTTATACACTGTCACACACAAAAAGCTTCCCAAAATTGTGACATTTGAGAAGCACTGAAGATTGCCTCCACAATCAGCAATTTTGTGTTAATAATAAAAAATTTTTCCTTCATTTGTCATTGATAAAATAATGTTAATCGGCAAAATTACATGTACACCGTGGGCTGCACAGCTATTCAGGCTGCACAGGCTACCAAGGCTAAGAAAAATTTCAATAGCATTGACAATTTTAATCAGAATGTTACTTGAATAGCAAGTCCTCATCCTCGGCATCTTCCAGCAGGTTTGCAGTTTGGTCTAAACACAAAGACAGAAATAAGCACGCGGTTAAGGTGTTGAAAGACAGATATAACTCGGGCAAATCATTTTTCATGATACTTTAAAAAAAAGACAGAAAACTGTGAGAGGTACGGTACATATTTGTATTTTAGGTGCTATCAAATAAAAATTACTTAAATTATTTGATATAATACCGCCTTGTTGTTTTGTTGAAATGTCTTTGGTAACATTAACAAGTATAATAATTATTATGTAGTTGTTCACTAACGATGACACATGTATAATAGGCCATTGCACGATGGCGTCGTTTTACTATACGACCAGTTTTCATTTTCCCTTTCATATTCAAATTTAGTAATCCCAGCGAGGTTCAAGTAACAAAAGTCCTAATTTGCACAAGAAAGCAACACCCTCCTGAAGGATTCTGGTCTTGGTATCAAAACGACATCACCATGCACATGGCCTACATAATAGTAACTATCAATTCTTTTAACCTTCTGTTATGCCCCTGGCTTTCTTTGCTGCCTCAGCCTTCTGTTTCATAATCTTCTTTTTTTCTTGAATTTTCTTAAGCCTGCAAAATATTAGGATAACAGTTTTCAGGGCCCAAAGTTTATTCTTGCAAATGCTTGTGGTGTCTGCTTCGTTTGTACAGGTGTGGGGTGTACATCTTTTTATTCACAAAAGTACAATGACTTATCCAAGCCCTGAGTAGGTTTAAAGCCCTAAGAGTGATCAGCATCAAATTTCTCTTTGTAATATCAATGCTTTGTAAAACAGAGTGGTCAGGAATTACAGACATGATCACACAAGATGAATTTGCTTGATATTTCATCAACTTCTCCCCTCTACTTCCGTGGGAAATGAATAGGTGGAGCAAATGAGAATTCAAATTTTTATCTTAGCGTTTAAAGGGTTAACAAGGAAAAGGTGCACACATGTACAAGCCAAGGGGGCCAGGAAGGAAGAAGGGGGAAACACTGTTTGTCACCAAGACATTGCCATTTTAAATCAATTCTGTGCTTAAGTCATTACTTTGTGGTTAAACCATACCCAAAAATAAAATGTACCTTTAGAGTTATTTTAAGACCCTGAGTAATGGTCCAGCCCTAGGAATTGAACCGCGACCTCCCGATCTGCAGTCAAACGCTCTACAGTTAGCCCAATTTTTTCAAGTTTTAATCCATGTCCACCCTTGCCATTTGTAGCAACAGACGGCAGAAAACAACGTTTCAATACCAAAATGTAGTCTTAAATAAGAAAACTGGACAATTATTTTTGGAATGCAATTGATGTAAAGACATGTTTTGACTTTTCTAACCATATAGCAAATAGTATGACATTGCCCCTTTAAGCCAGTTTCTGTAGCGAGAAATGCAATAATTATAACAAATGACAAGACCATTATGACTGCTATATCACTCCAAAAGTTTGCAAACCTGTAAAATTCTTCCCTTTCTCTTTCATCAAGTTCTCCTATGATGTATGATATTGTAGCTTCAATTTTGGGGATAATAACTGCAAGGAACAAAAAACAAATTTATATATACATTACATCATTAAGGCCACCATCCCTCCCTTTTTCAGTTTTAAACAACATTTATTGGTAGGGGCAGGGAAGAGGGATAAAAAAAACTTAAAAAGGATCACTCCAACTTGAATGATTACAGTACAAAAATCTCCAGCCCTCGCTAACTCGAACCTCCCCTGGATTTCCTTCATACACTTACTGTAATTTTACCCTCAGTAACTTGAACCCTTGATTACTCGAACCTCCCGCTAACTTGAAGTAATTTTTGTTTCCCTTCACAACATTTCTACATAATTTTACCCAGTGTACTTAAGTCACAAACATTGAATTTACAGTGTATTTCAAAGCAACCATGTCAATTCTTTGTTTCTACTTTTTTGTCACTCCAGTACAAATTCGGGGTCCATCCCTGTACATTAATCGAGTTTTGTTCCTTAATTCCTTTTTCAAAAGATCAATCAATATTTCTTAGTTCCTGCCCTTGAAGTAACAAGTGCATAATACTTGCATTCCCTACACATCCATTTGCTTATTTCCTTATTTCCAGTTATTTGCTTCAAACTACTAATAACTCAAACTTTTTTCCATTTCCCTGGAAGGTTTGAGTTATCGGGAGTCAACTGTATTTTCCTCCCTGGCCATAACCATATGGGAAGGCAGACCACTTCACTATAGTTTATTCAATACACTTTTAGGCAGGTTATGCACTGCCCCCTGCCCCCCACCTTACATTCTGTTAACACGCCCTGAAAGAAACCTTACCATATTCTATGGCATTCACTCTTCTATTTGTGATTTTGATAGCTTCATCCAGAGTAACAAAGGCAGTCTGCAAGCAAAAACAAATAAAAGTTCCAAAACAGATGGAAAAGTTGAACAAATTTCAACACTGTAATTATCCAACCCTACTGGTTGCCATTCCCCAACATTTTGGATAGTTTCCCCATTAAGCTTCTTCATAATCATCAATGCCATTCTCCAAAAAAAATTTCAGGGAATACAAAAGCTCTAAATCTTAGAAATCCAGGGCATCTGGCATTTACATTCTATGCAATCACCACCATTTGCTTGTCACCCAAAGGCAAAGGTACAGTAAGTAGCCAGCTGAGGTGAGAACCTTACACATGTACTATTTACCTGAAGGGATGCAAGCTCAACAAGCAGCTTGACAGCTTTACCATACACTTCTTGGCATTTACTGACTTGCTGGCCACCGCGAGATAAACCAGTCAACTCATAACCTGGGAACAAGTAAAGGGATTGAAAAGATTAGTCTGAATCTCCAGCATGTTGTACTATCTTGATCAAGAAGAATAATTTTCCTGTTACAATAGTTACTCTTGACAAGTATTCTGCAGTGTACAGGTATTGCAGGGCTGTTATTAAGGCTAGAGCTGGGGGCCAGGTATTTCCCCTGGCTACAATCAATGTGGCCCGCGGCTATCTTCCTTGGAAAATAGAAGAAAAATAGAAACAAAAGAAATCCCTAGCTGTATGATTCCCTGCCTACTTGTTGTTTTTACCTGGCAACTTTAAATCTTAGTAACAACCCTGTATTGGAATGTGCCCCTTTGTACACCTTTATGTGACTTTTCAGGTAATGTGATTAACGTTATGATGTTCCAACTAAAATAAAACCACTCCTTTCAGTTTGCAAACCAGACAGAGTTACATGTAAAACTTGCAGAGTTGATTATGGAAAAAAGACATGTAATTCTAATCTGTGGAAGGAATTCCATTATGTTACCATTCAAATGAAACCTCTTTAAAAATTCTATTGCGTAGTGCCATTTGTTTCTAAAGATGTCACAAAATTGTTGATTTTTTCTTGAATCACTTTTTGCTCTAAAGGAGGCGAAAGCCACAGGTAGAGACCCCAACTAAACCACAAAGTAATGCCTTTACTTAAAATATATGGCATACATTGTAACCCTGGGTTAAACTTAGCCACCTTTCAAGGAACTGGGCCCAGACCTACAATGTACAGCTAGACTAACTCATCAGTAATTTGGGATCTTGAGATATAATTGAAAGATAATACCAGAGGTGACTTACTGTTGGTGCCATCTGCATAAGCTTCAAAAATTGGAAGATGAACACCTGGAACAAGTACATGAAATTAAGCCAAATTAGAGATCTTCTGGTATTAATAATTAATTTTATACCATGGTCAGATAACAAATGTCACAGAATTATAGAGATCTTTTCTTCACTTTTGCTAGTAAAGTAGATTGCTAGCAATCCCTCCGGATTGTCGCATGGGCACTATGTACCCTACTTGAATTGTACAGAATTTCTTCTGACTAAACAACAGAGTGCAAAAAAATGCGCCCCAAAGTAGATTTGTCCTGTTTGACTTTAAAGCTCTTTTGGTTTGGTGAATCAACCCAAAATCATCAAAAGTAACTAAATATAACATTACCAGCGACATTGTCTTTCTTCAGACGAATCTTTGTTTGTGCTTTGTCAACGTTTTCAAGTACAACATAGCTGAAAATGCAAGATGAAAGTGCTTAACATAATTATAAAAATATTGGTTAATGCACTTCTACAAGAAGGGAAATGAAAGAAGCCATGTCAGAATAACTTTACAACAATTTTTTAGGGTATTTATAAATACTTGCACAGTGTACATCACGTGACTGAATTTTCTCCTCTATGAAAAGTAAAAACCGAGGTTAACTGAGGGCCTAGCTGAAATTGTTCATTTAACAATTAGCTCAGTCAGTTATTACCTGAAATCCCCAGCAGCAAAATTTGCCTCGGCTAAAGAAAAAGTCGCTTCTCTCATTACATCACCCATCAAAGTTTTGGTCTACAAGATCAAAAGACAACATTTCAAAGGTAGGAATTTTCAGTTCAAACAACGATTAACACCTTACAGTAACCGAAATATCTCCAGCACTTACTTCTATAATCTTTTTGAGAATTTTCCTAAAGCGCATTGTCAAAGCATCAGATTTCTTTTTCAAAAGACTGTGACCCTTCTGAGCTCCCTTCAGCCGAGCTTTCATCAGCGTCAAGGCCCTGGAACAGAAACAACGCAGTTTTCATCAAAATTCCTGATATAAACTCTCTTCAATCTCGAAAATAATTATTTAGCTTACATTCTTGAAGGGAAAACGTTCAATCTGTCCTTTCCTCCGCCCGACATTTTAAGAAAATGGGGAAACTTCGCCTCAACAATCACTCTCGGCTGACTATAATTTGTTTCGCTTTGTCACCAGGCCTGCTTGTGTCTTACAAACGCCCGCGCTTTATCAGCGGTATGTCGTCGAAGGAAGAATTCCCGGATCTTCTGTTACTTCTTGTAATGCCACGTCGCCGTCCATTTTGAAAGCCGATTCATGAACGAAAAAGCAGATTATATTCCGTCTTGAAAACCGTATATTTTCGAAATGAAGCTTTGGTCAATTTTTATAGTCTCTCCAGTAGTTGTATTGAGTTATTTAGCCGTAGTTAGCTCCCTTTCGTTCAATTTGCCTCCTGGACAAGAAAAGTGTCTCAGAGAAGAAGTCCACAAAGATGTTCTTGTCACGGGTGAATACAGATTATCGGATGCCCCTCATCAAAAAACGCATTTAACGGTAGGTACATGCATGGTACTTTTAGTGTATAGAAGGTTGAATGGAAAGAAAATAATTTTGCCGCGTTAATGATAATTTTGTATCCGATATAGTTCATTTAACTATTCACATGCGCTTGTAGTTCATATTGTACACATGGTGATTTCCTTTTGTTAGGTAACGGATTCAACTGGGCATGTCCTGTATAAGAAAGAAGACGCCACCAAGGGCAAATTTGCTTTTACAACTGATGACTATGATATGTACAAAGTATGCTTGGAGAGTGAAGGTAGGAGAAGGAATAAGCTGAATGCTGAACAAAGTCAGTCATTCACTTGTTAAATCGGCTAAACTTCAGAATACCTGTCCGATGCATCTTGTTTAATAACAGTAGTCCCTACTGTGTTGAACTTTGTGGTATAACAAATTCTGACAAGTGGCCAGGTATTGCGAAGTTGCTCAGTTGAAGCGTATTGGAGAATTTTGCAAGTGTAGCTATTGTTTTAGGGTTCGAAAACAATAGCTACACTTGTAAATTACACTCCTGTCCTTGACTTTCGTTGGTCCCACGTACACCGTGAAGATTGGTGCATGCATTGTTATCAAATCGTAACCACCCCATCTGCCATATTGGATCAAGTAGATACTTCATGTAACAGATCACTTGCAGTTTGGGCTCAGGTTATTTGTCCTACGTGGTTTTTGCTGACAAAGAAACAGCTGATCCACCATGGCATAGACTGTTCAGTCTCCTATTTTTCTGTAAGATTGTTTAGATCAAGCGCTTTGCGTGATGGGCAGCCATCTTGGATGAGTGTCAAAACTACTTAGGGGGCAGGGGGCAGAGGGCAGTTTTCGCTTCCTCCTAAACCACCCTCCACTTGCTGAGTAGTTTTGACACTAGGGACTGTGAACAGTCTACCGTGGCACAGCAAAGGTTAGATTCTTTCTTTCATCCAAAAGTCCCGAGACTTGAAAAAAGAGTAGATGTTGATGGAAATTCTGGTGGAGATGGCGATGAAGAAGATAATTTAGCCTTCAAGGCAACCTTAAAAATTGTCAGAGAAATTGGCTACAAGCAGAGAGGTTGGACACCCTGATGGTCATTTCAGCTGAAAGACCATCAATAGAAGAGTTCCCTTTTTTGATGAAATGGAAGGCAGAGAAATCACAAAGAATTTTTTCCACACCCATCATGGGCCACAAGTAACTGTGTCCCCCTAATGTTCTTACATGGCCCTGGGACTCCTCAAGGCAAAATCTTGGTGAGAACACCGAGTTGGCATACATGCACATCCCATACCAGTCAACAATTATTGTCCTTGGGGGTTACATGTTAGAAAGTAGCAGTTCAAAAAGCTGTTCAATCCAAAACTACTTTTGTGCCTTAGAGTATTATAATAGGCACTTACATTTCTTCTGCATGCTTGTGCACCAATTGAAACAGAATTTCTACTAATCCTTTCTTCCAAATTTAAGGTCATGCAGGAGGTGGAGTAGAAAGAGAAGTTTCTTTAAATGTGAAACATGGTGTGGAAGCAAGGAACTATGAAGATGTAAGTTTTGATTTTTGTAGCAATATTGCCTTATGTCCCAGCTGGGATGAAGAGCTTGAGTGAGTGAGTGATTTGTAATACATCAAGTGGTCACACTATAGGATTTTGTCCTGGTAAAGCAAGAGGCAGACAGCCACATGTTCCTGACACATTCTGTCTATAACCTTCTCACTCAGAGAGTTGTTAGCAACTTTGGACAAAACCTTATTCAATTGATACTTCTTTGTTTTTTGGTTTATTTGATCAAAGTGAAAGCTCTAAATTTAAAGCAGACACTAAAATTTAGTACTGCTTTTGTTTTGCGCCATCATTTTGTAGTTAGCCAAGGCTGAAAAGCTGAAGCCAATGGAGGTGGAGCTCAAGAGGTTGGAAGATTTAGCAGATGCTGTTGTTAATGACTTTGCATATATGAGGCAAAGAGAGCAAGAAATGAGAGATACAAACGGTAAAGAGTATTATTACTTTAGTGTATTACATATCATTCAAAGCCGTCATTAAAGGATGTAACTAATTGTAACACTTGCTACCGCTGAGCTTACTTGATGTTACAGTTGATCAAAGTTAAAAAGCTAAAGGTGAACATTCATTTGCTGTGGCTGCTTCAAAACTTAATTTTCTTTGAACAGTAGGGTCCACTTGAGTGCTAATTTCGAGAAAAATATTTACCAACAGTAAAATCAGATTATTTCATATTATTGCCGAATGACATCTGTTGTTCATTTCAGAGTTCCGTAGTCATCACTTTAAACCAAAAAAGTTATGATGAAAAGTTCGTCACAGGTCATTGTTTCTATCTTAATAACAAAGCCACCCTAAAAGTCCATTACCAGTACACGTATTATACACAGACATCAAGTACTTGTGCAATTTATTGATTGGTGAAGTTTTGTATCAGCTTCCGTATTATTTTTAATAATATGTCTATTATTATCTTGCAGAGTCAACCTATTCCCGTGTGCTGTATTTCAGTATTTTTTCCATTCTGTGCCTGTTTGGTTTGGCCACATGGCAACTGTTTTACCTGCGACGATTCTTCATTGCCAAGAAGCTCATAGAGTAACTTAAGGGATCGAAAGCTCCTTTCACTAAAAGAGAAGGCAACCCTACTTTACAAACCAGATACATGTACACTCATTGACTGAGCGATTGTGAATGGCTGAACTCTTGAGTTTATCAAATCCAACTTTCAAGCTGTAAACACACAACCAACCTCTTCACAACCACTACCCTTAGTCTGTTACAAAGTTTTTCCAGTGTTGTTAATAATGGCACTGGCTGTGTAGAGGGTAACAAGCAATACATGTGAACAAACATGTAAGCAGTGAAGAAGGATACAAAAGTAGAGATTTTAGGTATTGACTGTAGTGGTACATGGTGGGTTGGCCTTGAAGGTTTTAGGGTTTTTTTTTTAGTGTTCATATGTTTTATGTAACATCTTAAACATGAAGTGTTTCATCTGCGCCTCATTCTTAGGACCTCTCTTCTTCCTGTCCCAGAGACCACTTCAAGGGAACTAGCTTGATTCATCTGATTCCCATCCCAATTGTTTGTTTGTTTGTTCTATTTTTCTTTCTGTTTGCGATGGGAGCCAATGCTTGCGGAAAATTTTTTTTTTGCCTTTTTCCCCCACTGCAGAGCCTGGTCTCAGGTCTTCCACTTCTCTATTTATCAGATTAAACGTTTTTCAGGTTTAATGTTAGCTTTACATACAGCTTCTCCAATTTATAGTCAGTAATTCTGAAGAAATTTAAAGCTAAAGTTTGCAAAATTTTATGGTCACTAGAATGATGTTTTCTAACCTCCTTCGCAGTTGTTACCTCCTATGTTTTCCCACAAAAATTTATTAATAAGTACATTAATTTGAAAGATCTTTCTATTGGTTTCACTGTGACTCTCCTCTCGGAGATGAGCTGGATGCCAGATCTAGTTTTGTATAGGGAAATGTATATACAATAACAGCGCTTATGTCATCCTTAAAATCACCTCTTTCAGTCTCTTTATTATAACAAGTAAATACGTGGTTTGAAAAAAACTTGAATTCTAACTTGTCCTTTGTACTAGTCTTTCTCGCATTTTGCCTACCTTGGTTCATCAAAATAATGCATGTCTGTTTTTGATTAAAGGATGTAAAGGATGATTTGCATGTCCCCAGCAAGCAAAGAAAGTAGCGTCCGATAGCCTGGGACTAGTGGATTTTGCTCTAGGGCTAGTGAATTCTGTTCTTAACTTGCCTGACAGACAAGTGAAGTTTTAGGGGAAATTCAAATTACAGAAGAACTTAAATCAATCGTGGGGTCAATTTAATAAAACTTTTACAAGTGTAATTTAGAAGCGTAGCTGTTGTTTTCAGAACCTAAAACAATAGCTACACTTGTAAATCACACTTGTAAAAGTTTTATTAAATTGACCCCTGCTCATCAAAAATTTTGTGGGGGGCTAATTAAAATAAATTTGGGGCTAGTACTTGCTCCCTGTAACTGTAGTTTGCCCAAATGGCAAGCTTTAAAACATACCTTCTTGCACCCTGTGTCTCTAGGAATGTTAGCATGAAAATTCCCTTGCGAGAAAGGGAAATCAAATCGTCCCGGATTACAAAACAGGACTTTTTTTGTGAACACCATGGTGAACCTTGATATGCTCTATGGATTTTGTTTTCATAATTTATTGGTTCTTAATCGGTAAGCTTTTGAAATACTCGAGTCACTTCCTCTTACAGATGTATGCTTAACACTTCCCATAAAATAATCGAAAAAGAGAAAAGAGAAATAATTTTGTTTATTGTGAAGAAGGTTTGGTTAATCCATCAGTGACAGAATACTATTATTTTCCAACATTTGTTAAGAAATGAAATAAAACAATTTAAAATTAGTACCTGGCTATACATTTTACTTGTGTATTCAGAGCTGTGCGCTAGCAGAACCTCAGGGACTCCTGGTCTCCCCGTTTAAAACTTTTTTGGGTCCCTTTCCCCCATCCCCCCGGGCTTCAGTCATAAAGATTTGAGTTCGGCGTTCGGCAATCTCACAAGGTAACGCAAGCTCTTTGATAGTACCACAGTACGAATCTAGTAAAATTACAGTGTTTGTTGCTTTCAGAATCTAAAACAAATGCTACGCTTGTAAATTGCACTTGTAAAAGTGTTTGTTTGCCGCCTGGTTGGCTCAGTTGGGAGAGCGCCGATCTGCTGAGCGGGAAGTCACGGGTTCGAACCCGAGCCGGACCAACACTCAGGGTTTTTAGATAACTGAGAAGAAAGTGCTGCCTTTGTAATGACATCTGCAAACGGTTAGACTTTCTAGTCTTCTCGGATAAGGACGAAAAATGGTAGGTCCAGTCTCACAGCACTTACACTTGTCTAGGTCTTGAGGGACATAAAAGAACCCACACCACTGTTCGAAAAGAGTAGGGACGTAGCCCGGGGGGGGGGGTACTCGCAGAAAAATTGGGTAGGGGTGTGCGGCCCGCTTCCCAAAACCCTTACCCTATTTATGACCAAAATCTGCGATTTTCTCTACCCTATTTATGACCTAACCAAAAATTTGATACCCTATTTATGACCTGACCCTTAAATCAATACCCTGTTTCAGACCTACCTTATAAGTAGCTTCTTCTAAAAAAGTGCATTCAAGACTACAGTGCAAAAATCGTTACCCTATTTATGACCAAAATGGCGGCAAAATAGCCAAAATCGATACCCAATTTATGACCAAAACGGCTGAAAAACCCTACCCTTTGGGGCCGCACATACCTATATAGCCCATATTAGGGAGTACCCCCCCCCGGGGGACGTAGACCCCTGCGTTGTGGCTAACCTACACACATCACCTCATTCACATCATGGGTTGGGTGGGTACAGTAAGCTCATAAATGGACTGAGAGCGGCTGCCAGTGGCGCCTTTGTGTGCTTACGTGCGAGCTTACTATTCACATGTTAAAATACATTGTAAAAGGGCACGTCTGTTGTCCTTTCATCCACGATTCTTCATGTATGGGGTGGGAAATACCAAATAAAAAGTAACCTGCGACCTGGCGGTCCTTCTTCCCTAACATCTGATCGTAGGTTCGATAAAAGGCAATGAAACTTACTCCGCAGTTAGTTGTTGTTGTCCTTAATGCTCACTCGAAGTTAGTGATGATTTTCTCAAATTCACCCTCCATACAATATGATACACGAGGGCTAACGCGTATTGCCAAAGCAACACCCGTGCACCAGAAAAAAAGAGACATAGAACAGCTGATGGTTGCCATTTTGAAATTTTTAAACTCTCCAAAAAATCCAGCGTTTCCCATTTTAACAATATAGGAAGTCACAAAGTCTGCTGGATAAGTTGTGTTGACAGACGAGAAGAATAAATCGTCTAGATATAAATTCGGTGTTCAGACGAATTTCTGCCCCAAATTTGTCTGCACTTGATTCGTTGTCAGCGCGTCTATAAGACTTGAACAAAAATGCTTAGATATTCTTTATTTTGTTTTACAATTTGCATATTTTTGCGTCAGATCAAATAAAGGAAGAGGGTGACAAAAAGTTTTTGTTTTTTGGAGCAACTTTTGAGCACCTTTTCTCACAAAAAGCAACTTGGTAAGGATAAACTAAACAACGCGATTCTTTTCCCGCATACTTCTGCCCACTCAGACTACTACATTTAGCAACTTATTTGAAACATCACGACAGAGTCTTTCCATGGGTCTTTCCGAGGTCAAAGGGTTTGTTACCGATTCCTAGAAAATTGAAATTTATTCTCAGAAGTTAGACATCGTCAAATAATGTTAAATAAAGCTTTGTGATTGGTTTATTGCTGTTGACTTGCCTATACTTGCTAATCTTCCGGGTTCTTGTCGCTTTTCTTTTCACATGTTTTTAGTCATATCCTGTCTCTTTTCATTCCGAGTTTTGAAATATGGATATAAAAACCTTACTCCACAATCTACACGACGAAGTGTCCTGTTCTGTGTGTTTGAACGCGTTCACTGACCCAAAGATATTGCCGTGCTTTCATACATTTTGTCTCCAATGTCTGAACCAGCTTCAGCAAACGAGTGGCACTCATGGGCAGATTACATGCCCAGAATGTCGCACAAAGGTTCACATTCCTGGCAGTGGGGATCCAAAAGAGTTACCGACTAACTTTCGAATGAACAGTTTGTTGGATGTCATGGCCATTCAAAACTGCAACAGCACCGGTGTGAAGTGTGGAAATTGTGACAATACCAGCGCCCACAGTTTTTACTGTTTCAAATGTTGCATCTTCTGGTGCAAAGATTGCATTGGGGCTCATAACATCATCCGCGCTAACAAAGACCACAGAGTGCTAGCGATTAAGGAATTTCAAGATCAAGACATCGAAGACGTGTTAAAGCGGCCGACGTTTTGTGAAAAGAAGCACCATGAAAACGAAGAGCTTAAGTTCTTTTGCAAGAACTGTGAAGTCGCCATCTGCAATACTTGTGTTGTAACACTTCACGAAGGTCACGCCAAGGTGCTTCTACAAGATGCTGCCTGTGAACGAAAGTTATGGATGGAGTCTACGATGGAGTCTCAGAAAGAGAAAGCGCTTCAGAAGAGAAATAAGATCACTAGGCTTCAAAACGAGTGCACGAAAATTCAAGCACAAGTGGCCGGCGTGAAAAGAAGTGCGCAGTGTTTTGCTGACAACATGATCAAACTCATCGAAGAGAAGAAGCGGAAACTTTTTAAAGAAGTGGAAGACAAAGCTAAAGAGTCAATCGAGAGTTTGGAAGAGCAACAATCAGAACAAGAAAATGAATTAGCGCAGATTGAGACATCGATTGCAGAAACTAAAACGTTCCTACAACGAAGCACCAATGCCGAGATTGTGCAGGTTAAGGTAGCCCCAGACCAGGATCTGGCGGCGGTCAGTGACGAAGCTGAGCAAGTCAACAGTGACTTGAGAGACCTTGGCCACTTTTTCTTCGTCAGAAATAAGGCTTTGATAGATAAAACTAACAGTGAAGGAGTTGGTTCACTGACACAAATCATCAGCAAAACGAAATCGAGTAATTCAAGTGCGGGAGGAAAAGGAATTGCTGACGTAACTATTGGACTGGAAGCAAGGTTTATTTTAACAACACGAAATTCTGAGAATGAACAATGCTACGAAGAGTTTGATAACGTGGCAGTGGAAATCAGAAATGATCAGGGCCAAAATTGCACTACTGGAGCACAGATTCAGGATAACAAAGATGGCAGTTATAATATCAGGTACATTGCTAAAGAAACCGGGTTATGCAAAGTGTCAGTAACGGTAAACGGGGAACACGTTAGAGGCAGTCCGTTTGCCCTTGAGGTGAAGCCCAGGCAATACAAACCTGTGTTGTCATTTAGCGGTTCGACTTATGGAACGTTTAATAGACCTTGGGGCGTGGCAGCAAATGAACATAATGAAATTGCTATAACTGATAAAAAAAGCAACCGGGTTCAAATATTTAGTTGTGACGGAACTCTCTTAAGATCGTTTGGAAGAAGGGGCAGTGGAGAAGGAGAATTTAAGAGCCCTACTGGTATTTCCTTTTTAAACAATGGAAACATTGTAGTGACCGACGGCAGTAAGCATCAGCTGCAACTATTTACCGGGCAAGGGGAGTATCTTACCAAAATTGGTAACCAAGGAAATCTGGATCATCAGTTGGACGATCCATGGGGTGTATCTGTGGACAGTGATGGCCACATCATTGTTGCTGATTTGAAAGAAATCAAGATCTTCACTGCCTGTGGCCAGTTCCTAAGAAAATTTGGCGAAGATTTTTTAATTGATCCCTGTCACTGTATTCAGAAGGATCAACATCTAATAGTTTCCGACCAAGGAGATCACAGTATCAAAGTATTCGATACAGAAGGTACTTTTCTTTATAAGTTCGGCAGTAAAGGGGACGGGGATGGGGAATTCAGTAAGCCCCGTTGCTTAGCGATTGACAAGGCAGGGCATCTGATGGTCTGTGACTCTGTGAATGACAGAGTTCAGGTGCTGGAATTGAATGGAAGATTCATAACATCGATTGGACAACACCGCGGCAGAGAGCTTGGTGAGTTTGATGGGCCAATGTCTGTTGCTGTTCTTACTGATGGTAGGATAGCTGTGTCTGATCTGTTTAACCACCGCATTCAGATAATGGAATAAACTGTTCTGTGTCAATTTACTCACGCAGGGTGCCTTTGATTGATCATATTCTGGAATAAGAATACGCAAACATTTTGGTACAAATCTCTTCTACATGTACCTTGATTTTTGGACCATTTTAACCCTACATAAATCCCTCGCGAATTTTATATTACGAAGATTCCTAGATATTCTAATGCAATGAACACCAAAATAAGTGATTTCTAGATTTTATTCCATTTATTCTTATTCTGGAATACAGTCAATCGAGAACCCCCTAAGAAAGTAGGACTAACTGTAACACAATAGTTTTTTGAAGTTTCCTTTTTTGCATGGTTTCCTTTGTTTAATATAAAATAGAATTGAAAGAAGATGTCACTTCAATAACATTATTGACAATTATCAGATGAGGCTGCTATATTATTCATTTAAAATAGAACCCCCTTCCTAGTACGAAGAATTTTTCTTTTTCTGGAAAATCTTTAAAAATTGTAAACAATAATTATAAATATACTCACTTTTCCTTCCATTTTGCAGTTTGACTCTACATGTATACTTATATGTAATAATAAGCTTTGGGAAATTATAAATGTGAATATCAAAGGCTACTATATATCTTCCTTCACTTCACACTACAGGGTCAGCATATCTTGTATCCATAGTTGATGCATGGGTTAACAGGAAATAAACACAGGGTCCCCAATCTTAATGGTTCCTTCACAGTCTGGTGCCATTTGTGCTCCAAAGAAAGGTGCCTTTTCATGCCTGGGGTCACTATCTTTGAACAACCTAAATCTGGTTATAAGAAAGAGGCAAGAGTAAGAGTCTATGAGGAAGCAGGCAGAACTTTGGTGTGGGGCAGGAGAATTAATTAATATTATAAGATGCAGATTTTGAATAAGCCAATTAAAAGCAGCTAAACTTCAAGTTCACTTCATATCAAGTCTCAAACCCAAACAGGATTTGATGAAAAGTACACTTACATTTTATTAATTAATTACAATTACCATTTGTTAATTAATTAAGTTCATCAAGGAGAATCATGTGTGGACTGACATCTGAACCCTCTCTTACATTACTTATGGGCATAATATTTTAGGCATCTTGAAAACAAAGACCCCTAGGACCCACTAAGAACCCGCTGAATGACTTTGAACTTTATTGATTCAGTGGGGGGTCTTAGGGGTCTTTGTTTTCAAGACTTACGTTACATGTAACATCATTCTTGGCCAGTTATACCAGAAGATGTCTGCATAATAGTCACGTGGACAAATTTAAAATTGTCTGTCAGATGCTGATTCATAGTACATCTCCATGTCCTAATACTGAACAGCTCAATAAGTATCTGAGATGACCAAGATGTCGTTGGGTTTTAGAGACACGCCTAACTTCAGACATTAAATTTGTTTGACATTTAATGCATCTGACATTATTCTCCCTTTTATTTGATGTATCCACAATTATAGGCATCTGAAAGTCTTAGATGCCCTCTAACATAAAATGCAATTGCCTTACTTTCTTAAGGTCCTCAGTGGTTCAAGACCTGCATCTCTAATTCCTTTCTCTGGATCCACAAGGGTTTGAGAACACCTAAAAGTAGAAAACAAAGCAAAATTTTAATGACAAAATATATATTTATAAAATTGCTGTCACTTCAAACGTGTGCTTCTAGCACAATAAAAGAGCAAATGCACACTGACGTACAGTCAATTTTAACAGTGCTCCATGGACTGACACTAGGGGTATGTGCGTTGTGGTTCAGTTTCATCCATATTATTCAAACCCTTCCACTTCTTATAAATTAACCAAAAAAAAAAAACTCAAATTTCTTTACGCAAAATTCTAAGAAATAAATGGCACCATGCTAAAGTTCAGGTCCAACTTCATATTATTGAGGCTGCATGAAGCTGGATGCTCTGGCTGGATCTGTTTGAACACAGCTATATGGCTAATTTTAAAAAAAAGTTATCTGCACTCAATATATTTAACAAAAGGTTCTTACCTTCCACAATCCTTTATTTTTCTAAATGTAACATCTGCTATTTTCAATATTTTATGGTTCCAATGATCCTGTAACAACAGAAAAAAGGGACACAATGATAATACAAATTTATCCAACCTTTCTTTTGTAAAAAGAATGAAACATGATCGATGTTCAAGCCTAGCTATCATTAAGTCACAAAATAATACTAATACACACCTGCTCATTTAGCCTGAGAATACATCTGACATTTGGCGCCGCTACTACTGGTTTCCCTGCCAAATGACGTCTGAGAAACCAGCACAGAAATTCCATACTGATGACGCGTCACTACCTAGATCTGGGTCAGTGCTTCTGACGTGTCATAAGTATGGAATTTCTGCCTTCGTTTCCCAGACGTCATTTGGCGGGGAAACCAGAGCGCCAAATGTCGGCTGTTTCCTCAGGCTACTGCATACTCATTTGTTTTTTGGCTCAGTTGGTTATATGCTAATTGCCCATCAGAAATCATGACACATGAGAGGGAATTGAACAGCAATTTTAATAAACTTTTTGGAAAGAAAGTGTGTATACTGTACATGCATGTAAGCAAGAAATTAATCAAAGATCAACTTCAAAACCAATTCCCTGCTGTCAGTCCAGGTCTCTCACAGAGAGAGATAGACAAATATAAATAGGAATTAAAGAGTGAGAGAGACATGTAGAAAATACAAACCTCTGCAAAGGGTTCTGTGCCACCTATAACAATGTTAGGACGGAATCTGTCCATTCCAACTGGAGATGGTAACGCTTCATTCAGAGCAACTAATGATGCTTCTGTTGTCATGAGATATGCAGTTTCTGCTGCATATCCTGTCTATAAAACACAATGAGGAAAATCATAATTTCCCCCTTTTGAAGTCTGCAGTATTCCAGAGGGGTCCTTTAGGGCAAAGTGTCTCAACTAATTTTGTACCCAGCTGAAGCCTTACTGAGTTAACATCCTAGTGGATATTAGTATCTTAAGAAAAGAGGCTTTTTATGCAATATTGTGCAGCTGTCAGAGCTACCTGTAGGAAGCAAAAAGCATCACAACTTTGAATGGACTGTAGGGGGGAGGGTGTGGATTGTGTTGTTCTCCGAAGTTACCCAAGAAGTGTCTCAACAATTTTATCGCCAATTATAGCAATTTCCTCTAGCCTCATTATAATCTACTTCGGTACTACTTTAGTTTAAAACACCTGTCCTCTGGACCCCCAAAGGAAAAGCCACGCCCTTGTCCTAATGGTTCTAATACCTTGTCTCCCGGTAGGGCGTACTCTCCCCATCTTTTGTCTTCACTGCCATAACGAGGTTCATGAATCTGGTACATTTTACAGCCTGGAACATTCAACAAAGTTGAAAACCAAGCTGCCGCTTCATCACCAGCATATTGAGAAATGGATGAAATCCTTAGCACCCTGGTAATTGAAAATCAGACATGACAGTGTAACTCATGTTACCATTAAGATCATGTATTTGGTTCAGATAAGAGGAGATAGAGATATTTTTTTTTTCCAGTTTGTAAAAAGATTAATGAAGGCCGGACTTCAAAATGTAATTGAGTCCTCGAGAGGGGGACTTGAAACCACATGTAGTCTTTTTAAAGGTTCTGTTCTTTCAAAAGAACCCAACCTTAAAACTGTAGGGTTTCCAAATTAACCTAATGGAAAGACATCTATGGAGATATGTGTGCAATCAATCAGTACAGCAAATTAAAGCTTAATTACTGAATAAAATTTCCAAATTTACCTATTAATTTTGGAAATAATTACCAAAGAAAATATCAGAAAGCTTAATATGTCACTAAACATTTGTCTGATCTGAATATGTAGGTAACTTAATAGTAAACAGTTCTGAAAATTGATTGTGAAATTTTAAAGGGGTAATACTGTAAGTTTTTGAGTGAACTGCCAGCAAGAGTGAACAGTGATGCAATGTGACCAGGGCAATTATAATAAGAATTTTGAAACAATGATCAGCCTATAGCATCTTCAGTTCAAGTAACTTTTAACAGAACGTTTTAGTCAATAGACCTGCATGATCATGACAAATATTTATAAATACTTGTTACAGGAGATCTGGTATATAGATTTTGGTCTGGGAAAACGTGAGTAGGTTAAGATAGCATGAAAAGTTGTAAGAAAATGACCGCTTTTTATATAGCTTAATAAATCACTGTACCGAAGATCTTTATATTCGTTAGCATCCAACTGTCTGTTCAACTTCAGGGTTTCCTTGCCTGGAGCATCAAGACAAAGTTGATCACCTTCAAAATGTGGAGTTACTTGAGATAACACTGGCTTTACGTATGATTTAATGTACTGACCATTTTTGTCCACCACAATCCAACGCCTGGGAGGAAAAAAAGGGAATACTTCAGCCTAATGAATACTGAAGCAGTGCAATAACCTTTGAGTACAGTTGGAACCTCAAACTAACAAATGGCCGATGGGCTGGAAATTATGTTCGCCACAATTAACAAGCCCAGGTTTTATTTGACTGGCAGTTCTTTTCCATATATAATTTTACTACAACTGGGGTAATCTTTCACTTTTTGGTGAGGACTTAATATAGAGTTTGTTACAAGGAGGTTTTAATGACTATATTGTAATTAACCTGAGATCAGGCATTATTTTTTTAAATTTTTTTTGCTATATTGTAATGTAAATTACAATGTAAAATTGGAGGGTTTTAATTGCAGGTTAGCAGCAGAACAGGTGTTATTTTTTCACATTTTTAATAGACAAGCAAAGACATTGAAAAGCACCAAACAATCACGGAACGAGACACATGCATTGAAGGAGGGCATGAAAAACAGTGTCTTCCTCCTCCTATGCCTGTTTTGCAGTTTCCTTTACTTACCTAAAAAAAACAAAACAAAAATAATGCCTGTTCTGCGGACTAACATTGCTACCAACGACAACCTGGTTCCACACCTGACCTGCACAGTGGCAGATTCAGACCTTCAGATAAGAGGGGGGGATGGTCATCCAGACCCTGAGATAAGGAGGACCTGGTCTTAAAGGCCAGTTTTGAAAACGGGTATGGAAAATTATATTTTTTGGTCTGAAATAGGGTCAGGATTTGGAGAACCAGGTAGCAGCACACTTCCACCAAGAATTCTTAGGAGTTCCCCCCCCGCCTCCACCGGGTTAACAGGCACTCCACTCAAATGCCCGATGTGCAATACCAATGAAAGCAACCCTTTTTGAAGAGGCTGAGTTTGAAATATGTCGCGATGACTTGCGACATACGCCGAGTATCGAATACGAAGTTCTTATCTCGGACAAATGTAGTGTAGTGGTTCAGGCATCAAAAGTAATAAAAAGTAGCAGTGTATAAAAATTTGTTCGTCGTGTTGAAAATTGCATCGAGTTAAAAATGTACGGCGAGCAAGGTCATACAGCTGGGTCATATAAAAAAGTTCAGATCAAAAGCTAAAAGACAAGAGTAAAAACGTTTTCCAATGAATAAATTCTAAAGGAAGAGTGTAAAATTTTGAAGTCGACTATAAAATTCAAGTGTCCAAGTTCAAAATTTAAATCGCACGCCATACTCTCCCGCTCGTAATAAAGAGATGGAGAGTGTGTTTGTGAGTGTTTGTGCGCGCTAGTACAGTACTAGTCATGCATGCAATATGTGGTAATATAAGTCCGCCAGGCCTACAACTAGACGAAAAGCTGACTACCCCCCTGTTGATCATGAAAAATCTGACCGATTAAAAAAACTGTCGAAGCCAGTGTGGATCCGCGTCTGGTGGAAAAGTGCTTTGAAGATTCTGTTCTGTTTGCCAGACAGCCTGTGCAATCCTCAGATCGATAAGTCAAAGTACACCGGAAAATCATCCTCTGAAAAATTTTGTTCTGAATAATGTGTCCCAACCTAGCTCTTGTAACTTCTCTGCAATATATATACTGGAAGACTTGAGACATACCTCTTATATGTTTCACAAAAACATTGTAACTAACAAATTGCACTATACCTGTCATTTTGCAATCCTTCTATGAGGCAGTTTGAAGCTTCTAAGGAGATACCCCTGCAAGACTTCACCGGATAAATAAATAGACCAGCTACATGGCCAATTTTCTTAAATACAGCAGGTTTAGCCTTAAGCGCTTTTCTGTGTTTCCACCACAGGAAAGCAAACGCGATAAAATTCAACGACAATGGAAGACATATCCTCCACAACCCCATCGTTGGGTAATCTGAGCGTGATGTGTCATAAGATGTGTCAAGTGTTGTGTTGCCTCGTATGAAGACCATGGGGTTAATGGCGTTACAACTCATCACGCTATGCTCATGTCACGTATACTTTCAAGCCACGCACAACCGGTCGAGGCTTTCTGGTCATTTTTCTTTATTGACCACTCCAGAAAAAAGCATAACATATCATAATACTCTTCGTTTGTCACCCCAAAATTTTGCATATAAGCATTGTTTTCAGTTTCTCTTGGGGCCATTTTAACTCCCAAGAGAAACAGAAGACAACGCTTATGCAAAATTTGGGGGTGACAAACAAAGAGCGTTATGGTATGTTATGGTATTTTCTGGAGTGGTCAACTCTTTTGGTAATGGCGAGACAATGGAGTCGTTAAAAATTTGCAATTTGACCCTAAAGCCTCGGAGTCATGTTAGAATTTTAATATATCGCCGAACGTGGGCTATTTGTATTCCATAGTACCTTTAGTCGAAAAAGACCATTTGGCCGAAAATTGGGAGAAAACCACTGCCCAGGAGGGGCTTATATTTGGAGGGGCTTATCTATGGAGGGAAATTTGTTGCGCTAGCCTTATAGTTGGAGGTAAATTTACCGTTTTTGCTTTGTTTTACTTTGTATTTGAGGGCAGTTTTCCAAGTACAAGCCCCTGGGGGGCTTACTTTCGGAATTTTACGGTAGGCCTTTTGCATAACAGGCAATTTGAGCCCTTAAATTCATAAGGGAAAGATTTAACGACAGTTAAAAAATTTCAAAATTTACAAGGAGTTGTATAGAAAACCATTCAACCGTGACTGGGGGGGCAAGGGTTGTTTTCCTCATGCAAATCCTTCTATTAAAATTTTACAGGTTGTCTAATTTTAATATGCTCTTTGAGCTCGTGCCAACAAATTTTTTCAAAAGCGAACTGTTTTCAGTGTGTTTTTCGAAAATTGATCACGTGATCAACTAATGGTTGTTCATTCTGTTTTCTTGTTTCTTGGAATAGAGTATAAAGGGCTAACCTTAGGCCTAAAACGAAAGCAGTCCTCAAAAGACGAGTCTGCAAAGTGGGAGTGGTAACTGATATCTGCGTGGAACGAAAAACAAAAACATGGGGAGAAAGCGGGTTGCGTGAATACACAAAGAACGGTTGTCTAGCAGACTAACGGAAGAATAGCAGGTGGAATAAACTGCCCAACCATTGCACCACACCCTGAGGGGATATAATAAAGCCAAAGAAATTTACCAAAGAGCACCGATGATTCGGGAAAGGAATTTCGGAGAATATCGTATGATGGCATATATCAATCAGGCTAAGTCCTCTGACACTGTCCTATTAGTGCTGAAATCAGAACAGCTGATAGCCAATCAGATTTGAGAATTTTGTTATAGTTACGATTAACCATACATATTTTCAATGTACTATTATAGCCTAGCCCTACATTTCTTTTCTTAAAGTCTCTGCATGTCTACTTCAAAATAATTATTATTTCGTACAGTTAAGTCTTCTATCTTCGCTGCAGACTCGTCATGATCCAAAACACAGCGTCACCAATCACGATTATGTCATACTGTGGCCTGTGAGGTTGTGGCTTACCACGATTTGCTTCTCACAATTTTCAGGCCAGGCTAATGTTTAAATGACTATAATAATAATAATAATAATAATAATAATAATAATAATAATAATAATAATAATAATAATAATAATAATAATAATAATAATAATAATAATAATAATAATAATAACAAATCTTATTTAGCCAGGGTTATCTCTTCAGCATAAAATGCTGCTATCAATGAGGGCCCTAATGAAGCCATATAGAGCATTTTCACTCATGTGGCCAGTAGCCATGCAAATTTATATTTATTGGAACAAAAGAAACGTTTTTACATAAGAAAAAGGTTTCGTGTCCACGAGACATTTCATTGTTTTGGGACACAACCATAGCGGACGTGACGTCATATGACAACACCATGTACTGATCGTTAGCAGGAGAGAAAAACAGGGTCACCAATCTCAATGGTTCCTTCACAGTCTGGTGCCATTTGTGCTCCAAAGAAAGGTGCCTTTCCATGCCTGGGATCACTGTCTTTGAACGATCTAAATCTAAACATAACAATGCACTAAGTGAGAACGCCATAACCAAAGAGCAGGTTTCTGTTAAGTAGGGAAGGGAAAGAAGATAATCAAACAAATAATTCACAATTCATAATAATTAATAATGTGGCCTACCAATTGAGAAATAGAGAAAGCTGAAAAGAATTCACAACTGCGCTGAACCCTTGGCTTTGGGAATAAGACTTTTTCCTCCGAAGAGACCTCGTCTCTTTGTGTCGTACGGAGGTGGGGAGACTGTAACCTCGTGCCAGGAAAGCGCGGGGGGACGACGGGAAGGGGAAAACACGGGGGGACCTTCCCCTCTTCCCATCGTCCATCACGCGCTTGCTATTTTTGAACTACAGTCGAACCCCCATTAACCGGCCACCTATGAAACGGCTACCCTCTATTAAGCGGTCAGTTATCAAAGTTCCAAAATAATTGTACAAAAGAATGGGAAATTAAACCTCTATTCAGCGGCCGCGGCCACCTTTTGATCTTCCCAACGAGGGTTCTTCCATTGTTCTCACCTGCGGCCATGATACACTTGACCCGATGGATTTTTTCTTCATTTTAAGAATATGATGAAGGAAAATACAGTCCGAGATAGAAGTTGACCACAAAATGTGGACCAGAAATGCTTCTTCCGTCACGAGTTTGTTTCAAAATTAAGGGATGTTTCTGCTTAAAATTATGCTGATTTATGACGAAGCTCTATTGAGTGGCCAACCTCCTTTAAGCGACCACTCCCCAGTACACCCCGAGGCTGGCCGCTTAAAAGAGGTTCAACTGTATTACTATTGTTTTATTGAAATGCCTGGCAGGAGCCTCGATGGAGAAGAGAGGGAGTAAGATCAACGCTCGCTTCACATCCCTGAGTAAAACGAGGGACTACTCCTAGTCTGCTAGAAAATGGATCGATTAAACTAAAACAGCATCGTTGGAAAAATCCCATAACTGAATTGGTTAACTAAAAACATAACGTATGTGTTCAACACTGGTAATTTGAAGGTTGGTGATTATCTTTTCCTCACTTTCTTAAAGTCTCCAATGGTTCGTGTCCATCTTTGACGCCTCTCTCAGGGTCCACGATGGTTTTAGGACACCTAATACGTTAATAAAGAGAGAGTGACATAACAGGATTACCAACATTACGAGCAGTGATAGAGTGATTTTGGTATGACCTTGACATGAAAACGCGCGAACTAAAACAGAAACAACAAACGAACAGAAATAGAGCGATTTGATTGGTTTATCGAACGGATACAAACGCGCGTGGCCTTTGGTTGGTTAAGCGAACGCTCGGGTGAAAAAACTTCCCCGAGAACTTTCTAGAAATCAATCGAAACTTTACTTTGACGTCATACTGCAACACAGTTGGCCAATCGAACAATGCCTTCTCCATATTTGGGTTTTCTTTGGCGGGAAAACGAAGAGGTTTTTCAACGTCATACGAAAATCGCTCTATGACAAGTATTCACTTGCTGTAGCATTCAATAGGCCATTTGGGTGATAGTGTAATTTTACTGCTACGACCAGAATCCTTCACGGTTTTGTTTTCTTAAGCAAATTAGAGCTTTAGTTAAACGGACCGATGAACGCGAGCATGCGTTTCTTTCTGCCAGATTCAGCGGCATTCACTTTTTTGTAAAAGACGGGAAAACGACCGTAAAAAGTAGGATTCCACGCGTTAACAGCAGTGAACGTTTTTTTTAGTTTCAAAACTGCAGCTAAATGCAGAAATACTGTGGCAGTGAAGGCGTTCACCGAGTGTTAATCGATTGATGAACGTCAGTAAACAAGCAAAACGAGTTAAAATTGCGCCTTCTTCGTTAATTCACCGCACGTTTTCTTAGGTCTTAGTTGTAAAATGACACTTTTCTTGCTGTGAAATTTGGTAATCTTGTGATTAAGGCCGAGTGAACATTCAGAATGGATCTAGAAATAATTCTATGATAACTACCAGTCAGTCATTGGATAGTGAGTAACACATACTTACGATGAAGGATCGCAACAATGTTGTGAGAATACCGCTGAGCGTTTGATCTGGTCTTAGCCATTGCAGATGAATTTAGCAGTGGACTGATAAGTTTTCTATTTCTTTCAATAAAATTTTAAAGGCTGAAATTATCACAGAGAAGAATTCTTTACCTTCCACAATCCTTTAATTTTCTAAACGTCACATCTCCTATTTTCAGTACTTTATGGTCCCAATGATCCTAATGACGTAACACGAATCATTAAGGCACATCATAAATCTTTTTTCACTATTACACTTCGAGGTATAATTAAAAAACACAGTATTATGCTACCTAACTGGCTCATCACAATTCATATCTCGGGAGATTGTAAAAAAATCTGCAATAATTATATTACTGTTCCAGGGTTGTCACTAAGATTTCAAGTAGCCGGGTAAACACAACAAGTAGGCGGGGAATCAAACGGCTAGAGATTTCTTTTGGTTCTATTTTTCTTCTATTTTCCAATAAAAGTAGCCGGGGACCACTCTCTTAGTAACCGGGGAAAATCCCCGGCCCCCGGCTCTTAATGACAACCCTGCTGTTCTAAGAAAGCATGAATAAGACCACTTTCTATAAAATTTCTTCGTCCTAGTGCTGTAACATAACCAAAAACAGGGCAAAAAATAAAGAAGCTGGTGTTCCTGGAATTAAAAGCCCCACTGAACTGTGACACATGATAAAATCCTAGATTTTCCCCCTGTTGCCATGGCCGTTTTCACAAGAGAAACGGATTATCTGTCTCAGACGAATAATCCATCTTCAAAATCCGTGAAAATTGACGGATGAACAGACGGATAAAATCAGGCAGATTGTTAATCAAAAATTCAAGCCGTTCCATTTTCAAATTAAGTCGTAGTATCTGTCTGGCGCGAATTATTCAACGAATAACCAGTCTCAGACGGATAATCCGTCTCTACTATGACGACGGCCAATGTGCAAGCTTGCAAATCAAAGTGTGAAATTCACCATAGCCAGTCATGACCAATCCTTTCTCGATAAACATTTAATTTTATAAAACTAATTAAATACCGTTACAAACCTCTGCAAAGGGTTCTGTGCCACCTATAACAATGTTAGGACGGAATCTGTCCATTCCAACTGGAGATGGTAACGCTTCATTCAGAGGAACTAACGATGCTTCTGTTGTCATGAGATATGAAGTAATTGATGCATATCCTGTCTAAAGAATAGGAATTAATGCCCAGGCCCCGGTTGTTCAAACGTTGGATAGCGCTATCCACCGGATAAATCACTATCCAGCGGATAAGTATTAGGGAAACCAATTGCGTTATCCAGTGAGTAGATTTTTATCCGTCAGATAGCGCTATCCAACGTTTGAACAACCAGGGCCAGTTTGATTTTATTCAGGGATTCTAGGTTGACTATTTGTTGCATTAATTTTACATCTTTAGTTTAAATACAGAGGGCCTAATTTATTGAAACTGCCAAGATCAAAGCATATTTGGGTCAAAGAAAAAATGGTCTTAAATTTAAAAGAGATCCCTTATGCTCCATTCTTTCGCTAGAAACAAATTTGAAACAAACATAATTTATTTAAAGAGGTACTGAACAAGAATGATTAATTTTATATTTTAACCCACTGAAAAGCCTGGTTTGTCACTTCTCTCCCCCTGAAAGGTAAATTTTTGGGTAAGGAGAGGCAACAATTGGAAATAGGTCTGCGATCACAGGCTACCCAGTGACCTAATTAGGTCAGGGAATTCCCAGTCAGCTATGTGATGATAGAATTCAAACGTTAGCCTACTGGCCAACATGTCTTAATCACCACTACACGACTATATCTCATCATAAAATACACCTTTGTTCCAAAAAAAATGTTACCTTGTCTCCTGGTAAAGCAATGTCTCCCCACTTTTCCTCTTCACTGCCATAACGAGGTTCATGAATCTGGTACATTTTACATCCCGGAACATTCAGTAAAGTTGAAAACCAAGCTGCGGCTTCATCACCAGCATATTGAGAAATGGATGAAATCCTTAGCACCCTGGAAATACAAAACCAGGCATACCAGTAACTATTACCATTAAGGTATTTTGCCACAGGTTTAGGAAGATATATTTTTTCCATAGTTAGTAACAAGAGTTTCACGATAATAAATAAAACCCACTCAGCCCTAGAAAAGTGGACTTTCAACTTTAAGGTTAACAACTGCGTCAATTAATGTAGGTTGGATGCCTGAAGTATGAGGGGTTTCTACTCTTGGCAGCCATGCAGCCCCTAGATGGAATAACACTAACATGGCTGTCACAAACACAGAACCTAGCTTTGAGCCTCTGTCAAAGGAGAAAAACACCATCACACTAAAACCCCTAAAACATGGAAAGAACAAAAGTGGGAGGGCAGGAAAAATGCTGAAGAAAACTCAGATTGCCAAACAACACTTGCTGCAAAACTCCTCAAACTGTCTTAGACATACATGTACATCATATGAACACTTTTGAGAGCTGCTGCACATCAACCTATAGAACAACCACTGATCTCTAGCGCTGTTGGGACATTTTGTTGTTGACTCCTTCAATCTGGATTCTGGAATCCTTGAAACCTTTGCTTGTGGAATACAGAATCTAGGAAATTTTTCTTGTGGAATTCAGAATCCTGGGCTTCGGAAACTGGAATTCAGCTCAAGGAATCCGGAATCCACGACTGTCTTCGATTACCTTACAAGGGGCGATTTAATACAAAAACCTACGTCACAATTTCGGGCAGAGGCAAACATGCATATCACTTGACCACCCTTAATTCCACACATTCACAGAAAAAACATAAGTTCAAGAAAAGAGAACTATACATCTGTGACAGTTCTACAGTAGATAGAACCTTGATTTAACAAAGGGCCAGGGGACTGACAAAATTTGTTTGCTATAAAGAGGTTTCATTGTATCGACTTTTGTTTGAAATCATACATTTTACTATTAATGGGGTAATTTGTTCGTTAAACTGAGCACTTCATTATATAGAGGTTTGTTATGTTGAAGTTTCACTGTACAACTATATAAAAATTTGTACAAACCTGAGATCTTTATATTCATTAGTATTCAACTTTCTGTTCACTTTCAGTGTTTGCATGCCAGGAGCGTCAAGACAAAGTTGATCACCTTCAAAACGTGGAGTCACTTGAGATATCACTGGATGCAAGTAACATCTAATGTGCTCATCCTTGTTGTCCACAACAACCCATCGTCTGGAAAGAAAATAAAATATAGAGATGCAGCTTGAAGCTATTGTAATAATGTAGGAGCTGCTTATAAGGTCTTTCCTGATTCATTCTTTTAAACAATGGTATTTCATTGTTTACCATTGTTTTCCATTGTCTTCCATTGTTTTCCGGTTTGAGTGGCCCAGAATTGGATTACACAGTACTGTAAAAGACTCAAATCAAGATAAGTACACAGAAAAAAATTGGGAAACTGAGCTAAGGGTGGATTTCAGACTGTGCAACCGTTTGAGCAAACTCGGGTTATTTTTTTACAACTGACAAATCACATGGGCACCTAGGGTGCAAGCCGCCTGGAGGAGGGGAGGGGGGGTGTCTGGAAGCACGCTACCCCAGAAATTTTGAAATTTTGATGCTCTGAAAAGTTGTTCTTGTGTTCAGAGGTTGATTTCTTTCCAAAATGTTCGCTAAATTAAATGTCATTTTTATGCCTATTTAATTTGCGTGTTTTCCCATACAAGTACTAGATTTTTTTATATTTCAGGCGGTATATTTAAGTTTCTGGGTATCAGTTTCAGTTAAGTACAGTCTGTGGCAGCTGTTCTGGTTTATTTATAACAACAGATGTTACAATCAGGATTTTTCCTGTCCCGATAGAATACTGATCAGGATTCGGGATTTCAAGCAAAATTGGGAGGATCCCAACAAGATCGGAATGGTTGGACAGTCTGGGATTTGAAACTAAAATTATGGATAAAAGCCTTGGGACACTTTTGCATTTCTGGGGTGTTTTCCAATTCACACAGCTCCCAAACCCTCCCCTCAACCCACAAACAAAGTTGGATACGTATATCCAGAATTTTTTTCAAGTTTCAACTTTGAATAGGGTGGGGAGGGAGAACTGCAACACAATTTCAAAAAGGATACATAGCCTGTGAACGGGCCTTCCGTCGAGGGTGGAACTGGGGAGAGTGAAAGCAATTTTTTCACCCTTTCCCAAAACCGAGAGCCTGTTCACAGGCTAAGGACACACTGTTTCATGAGGAAACTTAGAAATGACAGAAAAATATGAATACTGCATTACTGTCCCGACAGGGCTCGACACTAACACTTACCCGTTCACCACTGGAAAGTAATATTTCTGAGTGGAAAGTAAAAAAAGCAAACGAACCGAAAATACTTCCCCGATCAGGCTACTACTTCTAGACAATGCGGGAAAGTATTTTTTTAAAACAGCCAAATAAAAAAGAAAAGAAAACGAATGTGTTTAGTTATTACAAGTGAGCTTCCTTGCTAAACGTCTACGTTTCGTGTTTTTCTATCTCCGCCATCTTGGAATCGTCAGTGACAGATCGAGAAACTCTGGGTACGGAATAGATGATCCAATCAACCGTGCTCGCCATTTTGCCTTTCACATGCGGACTAGTAAATAAAACATGAGTGTTTTAAGCAGGCTGGTGAGGTTAACAAAGGAAACTCCGAAAAGATTGATGAAGTTGACCAAGAAAGCAACAAAGGAGGAGAACAGACTGAAAATCAAACAGCTGGAGCATATTCGAAGCAAGCGACGCCACGAGACAAATACAAAGAAAAGAGGAAGATGGTCGGCCGTGGGTTTAGAAAAGAATGGCTTAAGGAGTTTCCATGGCTGCAATACAAGGAAGAACAGAGTCTTAATTTTGTCATGTTTCTATTACGGATAGTGGAAAATATGTTTCTTCCATTTTTGGAAAGTAAAATTTTACTATGGAAAGTAAATTTTCATATCTACTTTCCACAGTGGCAAGTTACGTCAAAAGTTAGTGTCGAGCCCTGCCCGAGGACTTTTGTCCATGATTGTAGCTACACCCATGAATGGCTCAGAAAAATCAACGTTTTAACAGTAAGATGCCTAAATAATAAAGAACAAAGGACTGGAGAAAAGGCTGTTTTATGCTTCATGTACTTAATCCTGGGTCGTCTAGATGTTGATGGGCTACTAGCCTCCTCCAGGCCAGTTGTGCATTGTGATTTGAACTCATTTTCAAAATTGTCATTGATAAACAAAAATAATGTTAACTGCCTGTTAATTTAGTGCAACACAGCGTTGCATCATTATTGCGACATTGTTTCGAATAGTTACAACATTGTTGCAACATTGCAACGCTTTGTTGCGCTTAAAATCGTCGTTGCAAATCGTCCCGTGTAACATCACCTTACAATCGGATAAACGTACCAAAATTGGTACAAGGAAAGACGATTTCACAAGGTATAGAAACCCCAAAACCAATGACCAATCGCTAGAAAATTATGTTTACTAACCTGTCATCTTCCAATCCCTCTATGAGGCAGTTTGCTGTCTCCAAGGAAATTCCCCTGCAAGACTTCACCGGATAAAAAATTATACCAGCTACATGGCCTATTTTCTCAAAGATGAGATTTCCGCCCTTCAGCGCTTTTCTGTGTTTCCACCAAAGAAAAGCGAAGGCGACAAAATGTAAAGAAAAAGGGACACATAACCTCCACGACCTTGATGGGAAATTTCCCATGGCTCCCCTTTGGTGCCTCGCCTCCAAGCGGCGCGTGTTGGGTCTTGGGAATGGAATGAAATTAATGGAAGGGACAATAAGGTCACGCCACTACGATGTCACGCACCGTGCATGAGCACTTGATTGTAAAGGTTTTAAAAGAAAAGATTTTTCAAAAAAGAAGTGTTTGGGGGATTGACGAGATAACAGGGAGTACCAGATGTTTCTTTCACGAAATTGACTCAGCAAATAAACGGAGACTACCGCATTTAGGAGGGTAACCAGGCTTTCTTTTCTGGTTTATCCCATTAGGCTTGACAGCCGAGTAGAGCGGTAATTCTGTCAGAAGGAAGAAGAGATGACAAATACAATCGTCTCTCTTCAAGGGCCATAGATTTTTCTCTCTCTTGACGGACACCGCGCTACAACGGACACCTAGAGTTGGTCCTCGGCTATCTTTACTCCTTTTTATAGGTTGATGGTGGTTTAATAGACGTGGAGTGTCTATTTCTTACGAACTCGTGGATGAGGAAGCAAAGAACCTTTGAAAAGAAGGCTAAACAAAAAATGAACAGATTAAAATGTAATTGGAATTAATATAAAATGAGCGGAGCCATGCTGAAGAGATGGGTCACTCGTTTTGAACTCCCGGAGTTTATTGAAGTCCATGCAGTTGTTGAACGGCACGGGAGCAATGTGTTTTATTTTGAACAAAGCCAATATATATGATGAGTTTCAACAAGACAGTTCTTGGCTGCTGTTGCTTATTAAGAAGAGGAAGTGTCCGGCAACAAAAGAATGAAGAGCGAACGGTTGTTCCACTGACAAGAGAAAAAGAAGCCGTTTTTGCCATGAAATCGCACTAGAACTGGCGAGAAACGAATGGAACATGAAGATGGATACTGCAGAAAACTGTGAAGGAGCTTTTTGACTTCTTTTTTTTTTTTTATTTTTTTTTTTTTACACAAGCAGAGTCGTAAACTTTTCTCATCGGTCACCACCCCCTCCAACATTTTTTTGGAAATACATTTTACTTCCCAACCATTTAGTTTAATTATTGTCAGTATTTCTTCTGTCTTGCTCTGAAGTTTAAATTATTTTTTTCGAAAATCAGTTTCCATTTAATATTATTTTTATTCTGCGGGATGTCTGAGTTTGATTACTTTTCTCGTCGTTGTTGTTATTTATTTATTTTTTCCAACAGCTGACAGTAATGTTTGCTCTAGATCAAGAGGAGTAATACTAATTGCTATTTGTGATTGAATTGTATTACTATAAGAAAGCAGATGTCACTGGCTGTGACTTTGCTTCAATCGAAACAACACTTAATGAGTTTTTATGCCATTTAAATGTTATAACAAAGGCCAAGAAAAATAAATTACTAAAATCATCTCCCGATCGTTTCAACTAAAAAGCTCGCTATGACTTGAGATCCGGCTAGATCCCGGAGATAAAGCATGAATATGCAATAAAGTTCAATATGAAGGCAATATTATGGTCATTTATATGTGTTTGAACTCTGTTTTATAACATGTCAGCGGATCTTTGTATTTGAGAAATCTGCCGTGTTAGTTATTTGCCTCTGAGGCGCACGTTCTCTAAAAAAAACAACATAAATTACCTGACAAGAATATGAGCGCACGAGAGCGCATCGACAAACCCTAGCCTACGTGGCAAAATTAATCAAAAACAACAACAACAAACGATTCTGGAAATGTTAGGAGTAGGCTTATAAGTTCTCTACAGATTGACGAAATCTAACCGATGGATGAATAAGTTTCTTTCCAAGTTTCTGCAAATTAGAGCGATAAACTCAGAAAAATGACTCTCCAAACTCAGTGTAATTCGCTAAAATCTGATAGAAAATTCCAATAATTTCTTGTCTGTTAGTTCTTGCCGAATAAGGATTTAACTCCATCACGAACATCTTTCATTCTCCAAATATAAAGGCCAGGATTTAGGGAAGATGATGAAAATAATAACATCGACGAAACGTAATAAACAGTCCAAGTTTCGCGATTCTCTCCAATAAGAGCAAGAAGCAAAAGCGAGACGATGGTCGGTACAAAACAGATGGAAAATAAAATCAGAATATACAAGATTGTAACCACAGATTTCTTGTACTTTGCCAAGTTAAATGCTGGTTGTCCTTCAACGTGTTGCTGGTGTTCTCGAATGATTCGGAAGATTTTGAAATATGCAACAAAGGTGGACAAGTAACACGATGCTATGTATGCGGATATTGCAGCACCAAGCCCTTGTCTAAATCTTTTATTGGCAAATGCGAGTGTGTTGAAAACAACGAAGGGGATTGGAAGTAACAATGACATAACAGCAATAGGATATCCACGGCGTAATGTGAGTAAGGATCGCCGAGTCATGTGCAGCCATCGTTCAACTGACATGAGTGTTATTACAAGTACTGTTTCAGACACCAAGTATGTTGTACAAAGCAACCCAATTAGGGATGTCGTAGTATTCCACTCTGAGTACAGCAGATTAGGAACAGAGATCAAGGCGCTGGCAATACCGGTACACAAATCGGTCAACGCCAAAACGGTCAAAAGAGAATGAAACGTAGTTCTCTGAAAGGACCTTTTCCAAATTGCCGCCAAAACTACTGCATTTCCAACTACTGCCACAGGGGCAAAAACAACGATGACCGTGTGCATTGCCATCAAAGCAGAATAGTTTATTTGGTTCTCTTCTCCTGCGTTGTTTGAGCAACGAGATATAGAGTCATTGTCAGCTGAAATGGAGTCATTCACGTTATTTGACATGTTATCCTTTCGTCCAAGAAGAGATTTTGAAAGCTGTGTTGTAATAACCTGGGCCAGGAAATTCAACAACACCCTTTAGTCCTCGATGAAGTTCTTCAGTTCCCCTTAATAAGTCCAATAAACGCGAGGCTTGACGTTAGATCCTGACAATTATCCATTAAAAATGCTCTCTAGCAGATTTGACAGAATGTCAGAACTTAAATGAAGTTTATTTTGCACCTGCATTGCGTACTAAACTAAATTATTGTTAATTATTTTCATCTACATCCTTACAGGGTATATTACGCACCAGTTTAATGGGATTGACATGCAGCTTCCAGTTAGCCTGCAAGCTCAATTGCATGGTCAGAGCGCTACACCAGTTATCGAAGAGGTCAGGGTTCGGTCCTGCTTTCTTTTGGGAACTGCACAAGATGCGTCTTTCGCCTGCGATGATCTTCTTGGTGTTTATCTATTTTTATATCGTTTGGCCCTAGTTTCTTGTTAATTACAGGTTGTTTTCTTTGCTACCAAAACTAAATTACTTTTTCTTATAATAGTTGACAATAATTTTCATCTGGGAGGAAAATATAAATGCGATCTCAACTTAATTATTCTCAGTTTTTCTCTAGAAAATAGCCCATTGTGATGACTATGTAACCGAAGAATTGTCTCTTTTGAATCGAAAACAATTCCTTCATTTCAAAGGTTAACGCCCAACTTTTTAATCAAATCAAATCCACGCCAAAACTAAAAGAAGACAAGGTTTATTTAGAGTCCTGCACCGAAATGAATTACTAAATAAACTTCTTCATCATACAACTTCAAGTTAATTGTTAAAATTTCTGCTTAGAGTTACACAATGGGATATAAGCATAAATAACTTTTCTAGCTTCGTTTTCTCTTCTTAATATATTTAAAGTAATCAATTACGTTTTTTTTACATGCCTTTCAACGAAATATTTGTGTAGTTGCCCATTTTCGCTGAGAGGATTCATTAGAAAAACATTAACATATCCGGTCTGGTGACAACCTCTTTATTGACTCTATACGCGGTGTCCAAATATTCCATCGAATAGAGAACCTCTCATTTTTTTCCTGGTACGCACAGCAAAATTTTGAACATCCCCACCTTGATATAAGGGGAACGGTTGGACCTTGCCCCATCGGGGAGAGGGTAGATGGCGCTGCCGAAAGGCTGTGACGTCATTCAGAATGGCCGCCATCTTCGATTTTTTAAAAAATTTCAGACACATTCTAAAATTTAGAAATCAGGCATTTTTTGAGTTGGTTAAATAGTATCTCCCAATAAATTTAACGTAGTCTTCCTCAAGTAATACACAAATCGAGGCAATATTTGCTTCTCCGCTGAACAGATATTCTACAGAAAACAGTCGTTTGCTGCCCCTGTTAAAATGCAGCCAGTGAACTGGACAATACAAAAAAACTTTCCACGTGCATCACGCTTTTTTGTTCATTTCGTAGGGGCCGTTGCACGACAACAACGTGAAACTGCCTAATTGCACGTTTTATCGGGGACGGGAACACAAGACAACAACTTTCTTTTTCTTTTCCTGAACTTTGATGGCAACATTTGACGAATTAAATGAGATGGAATAAGCGCGATAAAGTTTGAAGCAGGGCGAATTCACTTTTTGAGTGACGATTTCGTAGCCGTGGCCGTCGTTGTTGCTCTCGGTCATTTTTGTAAAGAAAGCCTCGTAGCTCAGGCATTATCCTATCCTACACCGTAAACTACTGCTTATAAGTCCTGGGCTTATCACCGGAATAGAAAAAGCGCTTCCAAACAAGCTTCAACAGTGCTGATCAAGATAAGCATTGAATTGACCCGTTTTTAACTATGCTTTACTAGTGAATGACGTTAAAAATGAATTCATTTTAATACAAGCCAGAGGGGGGCTTATATCGGGGGGGAGCGTATATCCGAGGGGGGCTTATATCTGGGGGGCGTATATCCGAGGGGGACTTATATCCGGCAGGTCGGATGTATTCTGTTTGTAGGTAGACGGGTCTATAGCTGGGTGGCTTCTAAGTGGGGGGTGAGGGAACTTATAAGCGGCAGTTTACGGTGTGGCTCACACTTCACCTAGTCAATAAAAAGCTTTAGATTTTAAAGACGAGGACGATAACGAGAGCAAGTAGTGCACGCACCCGAACCAACTTCATTTAGGCTGGAAAATGTGGAAGCTGTCATCATTCTACTACGAGTTTTAACGAGAATGACGTAGTGGCGAAAACAAGTGATCAAATGCTAGGAATTTAATCATTTAGCGATCGGGAGAGGGCTAAGCCTTGAACTCCTTCAACGGAAATAAGCAAACTAACTTTGGTGGTGAAAAAAAAGGTACAACTAAGGAAGCTTTCCGGGGTGTCTATTTTAGAGAATAGGAGAGAAAACTAAGAATTAAATGTCGTCCGCCTCGCAGTCATCCTCGTCTGCTCGAATCTAAAGCTCTCTAATAATGCGTTTCCTTCTCTAAATGTTCGTGCGAAACAAGCCGATGACTCCATAGCGAACATCTGTCATTCTCCAAATATAAAGACCAGGATTGACAGATGATGATAAAAACATGAACACAAAACAAACAAGCTGGGTCTTCAAAGTTTCGCCGTTTACACCCACGGAGGCAAGTACGAAACTTGAAAAAATTATAGGTAAGAACGAAACAGAAAACAAAGCGAGAATATATAAGATTGAAATTACCGATCTCTTGTACTTCGCTAGGTTTATTGATGTTTGTCCAGGGTTTTGACGAGACTGGTTTCCATGAATTTGTTGCTTGTGTAGTCGAATAATTCGGAACACTTTAATATAAGCAAAAGAAGTAGCCAAGTAACACAATAGCATGCATACGGCCATGGCAGTAATCACCTCTTTTGCAATTGTTCCGCTGGTTGGCTCCAATGCGTTGAAATAAACGAAAGGAATTGGTACAAGCAATGAAGCGGCAACAACGATACCTCCACGGCGCGCTGTTATTGTGGCTCGTCGAGTCATAAGCAGCCATCGTTCAATAGACATAAGTGTTATAACAAGTAATGTAAAGGTTGACAAGTATATTGCACAAGGGATCCCAAAATATAACATAATGAAACGGTTCAAGTCAAGCAAGAAACGAATGGAGAAGAAAAGGCCGGTGACACCTGCACACAAATCCGTGAACGCTAAAACACTTAAAAGAATATGAAAAGGTGTTCTCTGAAAGGACTTTTTCCAAATCGCGGTCAAAACCAGAGCATTTCCCATTACTGCCACAGGAGCAAGAAGAAGGATGGCTACATGACTGGCAACGGAAATACTGTCTCTACCAACAGTATTGCTATCGTTCAAGGTAGTGGGATGGGAAGTATTATGATAATCTAAAGTGGGGCAAGTCGTGTTTTCAAACATCCCCACTCGCTATCAGTTCTCCAACCCGTTAAGAACACAGCCCGTTATTTCATGAGCTCACAGCCAAGCTTGAGAAGTTGATCAGCAAGAAGAAAGGAGAGATGCTGAGTAGAAAAAATGTCTTGAAAAGTGATCTTAGGGAGGTTGTTAACAGGTTTCACTGGACACGGATCATTGCAAGTTGCAACTTCATCAGTCAATGAAGTCCTGGACTCGTTTGACTTGGAAGTAAGGTGTTCTTTAAGTTAAAACTACTTGTTTCACCTGTCATCTGCTTGTTTTGTTCATTTAATGTTTAGCTTTCCTTTATTACAATTCCAATTTAATGGTTTACGAACTTTATTATAATTCTCGTTTCCGACATCTAGTTGACATCTGCCAATAACCTGCTTTTATCAGAAACAAGGCATCATTGCGATCAGGACTCAAAAAGCCCACCGGAGATGGCGACTAATAATGTTGACTCTGGCTTTATCAAAAGTAAACGTAATCAGTCGTGTAGCTATTTAAAAAGTTATGATAAAGAAACCACGGTGATGATATTTAATTTTAGTTAATTTTTAAAGCCCAACCACATCTTTAATCAAGGTAAAAGCTTCCCACGAAATAAAATCTAACCAGGAGCTAATATATTATTATAAGCTATTGTTCAGTGCATGCAAGAGTCATAATAATAAAGTTGTCGTAAGAAACAAATTAAACCAGTCAGCAGATGTCACGACACTTTAAGGGCTGATTGATTTTCAAAATACGGGACTTTTAGTGTCCCTAATTTCCGGGGGAATAAAGAGAAGTGTGACGTCACGTTACCATGGTAGCACTATTTCTGGATGACAACAAAACCAACGACGACGGCGACGGCAAGGAGAACGGCAAAAAAATAATATGTTTAACTCTTTAAACCCTAAGATCAGAATTTGAATTCTCATTTGTTGCCCCTATTCATTTCCTACAGAACTAGTAGGGAGAAGTTGATAAAATATCAAGCAAATTTATCTTGTGTGATCATGTCTGTAATTCTCATGACCACTCTGTTTTACAAAGCATTGCTATTACAATGAGAAATTTGATGCTGATCACTCTTAGGGCTTAAAGGGTTAATATGTTTATATTAACAAACGTAGTTGCACTACTACGACATGAAACTTCCTAATTTCACGAGCCCGCCTTATGGGGTAGGAGAACACAACACAAAAATTTTCGCTTTTTTTTTTTTAAACTCAGATATCGATAGATACTGTCCCAAAGGAAATTTCTGCCAATGTAAATGAAACTGAAAAAGATCGGTGAAGTTTGAAATAGTGCGAACAGACTTTTAAGTGACTTTATCGGTTCGCTTTCACCCAAAAATTTTGCTACCAAGGCAACGTGACGTAACGACTTCTCCTCTCTATACTTTTTAATAGAACGCTTTATACGGGAGGCTCCGCCCTGAGGTCCAACAAGGTACCTTTTCCGTCAAAAAAAGGTTTATAAAAGGATCTGAGGGGTTGGACGTCGGGGAGGCGCCTCTCCGTGAAGAACTTCGTTGAGTGCTGCCCCCCGGGATTTGCTGATGATAATTCATACTAGTCTACTGAGATCTGCAAGGGCAGAATAAGGATTTAACTCCATCACGAATGTCTTTCATTCTCCAGATATAAAGACCAGGATTGAGACTAGAAGACAAGTATAGGAACACCAAAGACACGTGATATGGCTCCCACGTTTCCATGCTCTTATTCAATTTAACAAGGAGGAAGAGTATAACTGCCACAGGCAAGAAAGAAAAAGAAAACAAAACAAGAATGTACAAGATTGAAAGTAAGGATTTCTTGTATTTCGCTAAGTCGATCGCTGGCTGACCAACACTTTGACACGACTGGTTTTCACGAACCTGTTGCTGGTGTCGGCGAATTTTACGGAACACTTTGAAATACGCAACAGTGGTGGCTAAGTAGCAAGATAGCAGATATATTCCCATAGCGGTGACTGCCTCTAGTTTAAAACTCTCGTTGAAAAAGCCAATGGCCAGTAGAACAGTGAATGGAATTGGTACTACCAGTGAGACCGCAGCGATGAGACATCCACGGCGCGATGTCACCAAGCATCGCCGAGTCATGTGCAGCCATCGTTCAATAGACATAAGGGTTATAACAAGTATTGTTAGAGACACCAGATATGTTTCACAGAGAATTCCAATTGCTGATTCAGCGGTTTCAAACGTATGGTTATACAAATAGGGAATCGACATGATAGAAGTGGCAATTCCAGTACACAAATCAGAGAACGCTAAAACACTCAAAAGAATATGAAAAGGTGTTCTCTGAAAGGACCTCTTCCAAATCACCGTTAAAACCACTGCATTCCCCACTATTGCTACAGGAGAAAGAACAACTATGATCACATGAATTGCCACTAGAATACTGTTCGGCCCATCAGCACTTGCTCCAGTGCTCAAGGTGCTTGAGATGTTGTTGTCGTTCAACATGACATATAATAGCGCGGTTCAGCCACTTTGAAAATTGTCTATGCCACGGGGATCATAGGCTTGAGAAGTTGATTGACACAAGAAAATTGTCAGCTAACTTTTAAAGGCGCAAATAAAAGGAGTCAAAAAGTGTCTTTCTTACACACACAGGAACCCGTTGAACAGGTTGCATAGGTCACCAATTCATCCCGCTCAAAGGCTTTCCTCAGAAGACGAAATCGGATCAGTGCTTCAATAAAAGAAAATTGATTGTTCTTGGAATGGGATATTACTCGTATTTTTCTTCCTTCGATAGGCAACGTAGTAAGTTTCATGCTGGCCTACTGTGAACTAAAACGGAATTACTTCTATTCAATTTGGCACCCGGTTTCCTGCCTATTATTAACGGCTGATTTTGTTTTTTTTTTCGTCATAAAAATTTTAATCATATTTCCGACAGATGACATTAATTTTCGTTATACAGGAAAACATGACTGTTGTATGGACTCGACTCTTTCCAACCTTGTCCATTAAAAAGACAACTGAATATTAAACTCCTTGGTGACATAACTGATAGTATTTACGGCGATGATACAAACCACGAAGGATTATCAATAGGTTTGTCATAAAATATAAGTTGTTTTCAGTTGATTTCAAACGATCTGCTGGATATTTTTCTAATATTTTTCAAATGCAATGTACATGCAGAACGCTTTACCCGCTGTTCTGAGTTGAAATTATATTTATTCAGATTGGTATTTAATTTCCTTTTTTAATGTACACTTACTTTTGTTCACCGATGTTTCTTCATGTTAAAAGTTAATATGTTGTTTTACCAAAGCTGACATTAAGTTTTTTCTTCAAAGGAAAACATGACCATCTCGGCTCTTTTTCTTCTTCCCAATTAAAAAACTAGACCTCGTGGTGAAATAGCATTGATAATGGTGAGGAGACAATAATATAAAAACAAACGAAACTTTATTATGTTTGCCACGCACTTGAAATTGATTTCAGTTTTTAATGACTAAAACTTCCCACATGCGATATTTATAGCTCTTTTTAATTTGCAATGTTCGCATAGTGTTCAAATTGAACAAAAAGACAATACGCCAAGTCCAATCAAGCAACGAAATTCGGGAGATAAAACTTTCACTCGTTGATTTTATTCCCCTCGTTCCTTTGCCACCAAAACCACTCCTCCATGGTCCTTAATGCAAAGGACTTGCAGACATCAATCATTTCCGACACCACTCACAACGCTCACCTTTTCGGGAATATTAGGGAGCTTAAGCAACAACGTTTTTGAGCGACGCACGTCAACCGGAAGTGGCCTTTTTTCATTTTTTGACGGTGGTTTCTCGCAAATTTTCAGTCAAATCGCCTCTATAAAAGTAAAGAAGCTAAGGAATACAAATTTTATATCATCAAGGCATGTTAAGAGGGAAAATACCTCACTTCCGGTTGACGTGCGTCGCTCAAAAACGTCGCTGCTTAAGCTCCCCATTAGGGAGTTTAAGCAATGACAACGGCGACGGCTACGAAAACGTCACTTACAAAAGTGAATTTACGCTGCCTCAAACTTAATCGCGCTTATTCCATCTCCTTAAATTCGTCAAATGTTGGCAAAGTTTTTTGGAGTTAAATTCTAACGGACTGCATCAAAGTTCAGGAAAAGAAAAAGAAAGTTGTTGTCTTTTGTTATTGTCCTCGACAAAACGTGAAATTAGGCAGTTTCACGTTGTAGTCGTGCAACGATGACAGAAAAATGTACAAAAAAACGTGATGCACGTGCAGAGTTGTTGTTTTGCTTGTCTAAACCTATTTCTTTTTTTACGTTCTCGTTGCCGTCGTCGTAGTCGTTGCGTAAACTCCCTTTTAGTAAGCACCGAGTGCAAAATTTCAGGGGTACTCTTGTCTGCAAAATATCTATTCGACAAAGTAACTGTTGCATAGAAATTTCAATAACTCGAGAATCGAGACTGAAAATTCGGTCCAACGTCCATGTGTGACCACCTAGTAAAACATCAAAATTTCGCCACTCAAAGCCTTAAAATTGGGACCTCTCGTAAATGGCCACCTCTTGTCAGCGACCGCGACCACCTTTTTGGAAGACGGTTTTATCTGAGTTTTCCAATGTTTTAACGTTTTGTAAGCGACCATATGTACTACGCTACAAACAGCATCCGAAGACACATATCGTAACTTAGAAATTGCATAATATTGCATCCAACCAATTGTCTCCCAGAAAGAAGATATGTCGGTGGGTAAGCGACCACCTTCAGTAGGTGATTCACGTGAGGCTCGATGAACCCAATTTGAGAATAGTGTTCAACAACAATTCGGCCCGTCGATAGATATATCTAGTAGTTATATCTAGTGGGATCCGTTTGTGCAAAAACACAACTTTTTGACTCCATCACGAACATTTTTCATTCTCCAAATATAAAGGCTAGGATTGAGACAGGATGCTGAAAGTAAGAACACCAAAGATACGTGATATGGTGCCCAACTTCCTTCATCCTTACCCAAAAGAATAAGGAGGAAAAGCGAAACAATGAAAGGTAAAATGCACAAAGAAAACAAAGCAAGAATGCACAAGACTGAAAAGATGGATTTCTTATACTTTGCCAAGTCGATCGCCGGTTGACCAAAATTTTGACGAGACTGATTCGTACGAATTTGTTGCTGGTGCTGTCGAATAATACGGAACACTTTGAAATATGCAACAGAGGTGGCCAAGTAACACGATAGCGCATAAGCACCCATCGAAGCATTTGTTTCTAGTTTCATTTTCTTCGTGAGGAGGTTCAATGCCTGTAAAGTAACCATAGGAACTGGCGCTAGCAATGAGAGAACAACAAAACGATATCCACGGTGTGATGTGAGTAAGGATCGGTGAGTCATGTGCAGCCATCGTTCAACGGACAGAAGTGCTATAACGAGTATAGTAAGACATAACAGATATGTACTAATGAGAATGCCAGGCATGGAGACTCCAAACTCATGGTTCAGCAAATAGGGAATGGACATAAGAGGGCTGGCAACACCAGTCAACAAGTCCGTAAACGCCAAAACACTCAAAAGAATGTGAAATGTTGTCCTCTGAAAACACTTTCTCCAAATCGCCGTCAAAACCAGTGCATTTCCTACCACTGCTACTGGCGCGAGTACAACGATGATCACATGACTTGCTAATAAAATACTGTCCGTCTCTTTAGCACTTGCTCCAGTGCTCAGGGTGCTAAAGATGGAGATATTTACTGGAATGGGACAAGTCGTGTTGTTCATCATGACGACGCAGCTCGGTTTACTTCAGTACTCCTGAGTGAAAAATGTCTTTTACGACTCCGCTTGGCTTGAGAAATTTATAGGAAAGTCGTTAGCTTCTAACGGCGTTACATCCTCGGAGACCCAGGGGCAGATAGTGGGGACGAGGGAAAGTCTAAACGGGCGGAAAAATGTGGCACGAAGAAAAGTAAAGAACGGCGAGAAGAGCCCCTGGGGACGATGTCTTACCAGACCAGTTCCAAACGGTCGCCGCCGTTCTGGCTTCTGATTGGTGCCAGAAAAACACAAGTTTTCTGGCACCAATCAGAAGCCAGAACGGGGGCGACCGTTTGGAACTAGTCTGGTAAGACATTGTCCCCAGGGGCTTTTCTCACCATTCTTTACTTTTTTTCGTTCCGTATATATTTTTCCGCCCGTTTAGACTTTCCCTCGCCCCCTTTATCTGCCCCTGGGTCTCCGAGGATGACGGCGTTAATAAAATGAGGTAAAACATATAACTATGTTAAAATACAAACAGGGCCAGAAGACACAACTTTGGAACAGTTTGCATACAGTAGGCACCGTGTTCAATTCACTGATGAACACCTTCCTTAACAAGGAACTGCTTCAATAGGAAATGATTGTTTAATTTTGATGATATATTTTATCATATATACTTAATTACTTAGTTTTTGCAGCTGTGTGTGCGGAGTTGAAATTACTTCTATTTAATTCGATGTACGGTTTCCTATTTTTTTTTTCTTTGTTGACTGTTGTTTTGATTGCTTTTAGTATATTATGAAATTTATATTATTTTTCGAGTTGCTAACATCTATTTCATTTTAGGAGAGAAAACATGACCTTTCTCCGGACTCGACTTTTGCCAATTTTTTCCTCAAAAAGATCTTTTATAACAGCACTGATAATAAAGATGAAAGATCGATAATACAATACTACAATCAGCTATAAAATCAGCTGTCAGAGAAACTTTGCCTTGAAGAGCCTTTGTGGCGTTTTGCCGACTTCAGAAGGGAAAACTTTAGCTCTCCTTCAATTCCTTCCCCTCCATGCAATGTTGTTCCTCTGTACAAGCTTTCTGTAATAAACGACAAAAATCCCAACTTTGAATGGAGAGGAGGGATCGAGGGGTTGCAAATTGTGTCGCTCTCCGAAGAACCCAATTTATGGACAGTGCTGAAGAACAATTCTGCTCGACGATGACAATCTAGTGGAATCCGTTTGTGCAACGACACAACTGTTTGACTCCATCACGAACATCTTTCATTCTCCAAATATAAAGACCAGGATTGAGACAGGACGCTGAAAGTAAGAACACCAAAGATACGTGATATGGCGCCTAACTTCCGTTATCCTCACCCAAAAGAACAAAAGAAAAAGCGAAACAATGAAAGGCAAAACACACAAAGAAAACAACGCAAGAATGTACAAGATTGAAAAGATGGATTTCTTATACTTTGCCAAGTCGATCGCTGGTTCACCAAAATTTTGACGAGACTGGATCCCATGAATTTGTTGCTGGTGCTGTCGAATAATACGGAACACTTTGAAATATGCAACAGAGGTGGCCAAGTAACACGATAGCCCATATGCGCCCATTGCAGCATTTGTTTCTATTTCCATTTTCCCCCTTGTGAGGTTCAATGCCTGTAAAGTAACCAAGGGAACTGGTGCTAGCAATGAGAGGACAGCAAAAAGATATCCATATTGTGATGTTACTAAAGATCGCCGAGTCATGTGCAGCCATCGTTCAACGGACATAAGTGTTATAACAAGTATCGTAAGACACACCAGATATGCACCAATGAGAATACCTGATATGGAGACAACTCCAAACTCATGGTTCAGCAAATAGCGAATAAGAGAGCTGGCAACACCAGTCAACAAGTCCGTAAACGCCAAAACACTCAAAAGAATGTGAAATGTTGTCCCCTGAAAACACTTTCTCCAAATCGCCGTCAAAACCAGTGCATTTCCTACCACTGCTACTGGCGCGAGTACAACGATGATCACATGACTTGCTACTAAAATACTGTCTGTCTCTTTAGCACTTGCTCCAGTGCTCAGGGTGCTAAAGATGGAGATATTTACTGGAATGGGCCAAGTCGTGTTGTTCATTATGACGGCGCAGCTTGGTTTACTTCAGTACTCCTGAGGGAAAAATGTCTTTTACGACTCCGCTTGGCTTGAGAAATTGATCGGAAAATCGTTAGCTTCTAACGGTGTTAATAAACTGAGCTAAAAAATATACCTATGTTACTATAAAAACAGGGCCAGAAGACACAACTTTGGAACAGTTTGCATAGGCACCGTGTTCAGTTCACTGATGAACACCTTCCTTCACAAGGAACTGCTTCACTAGGAAGTTTTTGCAGCTGTGTGTGCTGAGTTGAAATTACTTCTATTTAATTCGATGTACGGTTTCCAATATTCTTTTTCTTTGTTGACTGTTGTTGACATTGCTTTTAGTATATTATGAAATTCATATTATTTTCCAGTTGCTGACATCGATTTCATTTTAGGAGAGAAAACATGACCGTTTTCCGGACTCCACTTTTGCCAATTTTTTCCTCAAAAAAATCTTTTATAACAGCACTGATAATACAGATGAAAGATCGATAATACATTACTTAAAAATCGGCAATAAAATCAGGTGTCAGAGAAACTTTGCCTTAAAGGGCCTTTGTGACGTTTTGCCGCCTTCAGAAGAGAAAACTTTAGCTTTCCGCCACCCCCCTTCCCCTCCATGCAATGTTGTTCCTCTGTACAAGCTTTCTGTAATAAACGACAAAAATCCTAACTTTGAATGGAGAAGATGGATCGAGGGGTTGCAAATTGTGTTGCTCTCCGAAGAACCCAATTTATGTACAGTGTTGAAGAACAATTCTGCTCGACGATGGTTATCTAGTGGAATCCGTTTGTGCAACGACACAACTGTTTCACTCCATCACGAACATCTTTCATTCTCCAAATATAAAGACCAGGATTGAGGCAGGACGCTGAAAGTAAGAACACCAAAGATACGTGATATGGCGCCCAACTTCCGTTATCCTCACCCAAAAGAACAAGGAGAAAAAGCGAAACAATGAAAGGCAAAACACACAAAGAAAACAACGCAAGAATGTACAAGATTGAAAAGATGGATTTCTTATACTTTGCCAAGTCGATCGCTGCTTGACCAAAATTTTGACGAGACTGGCTCCCACGAATTTGTTGCTGGTGCTGTCGAATAATACGGAACACTTTGAAATATGCAAAAGATGTGGCAAAGTAACACGATAGCGCATATGCACCCATTGCAGCATTTGTTTCTAGTTCCATTTTCTCTGTGATGAAGTTCAATGCCTGCAAAGTGACTAAGGGAATTGGCACTAGCAGGGATATGATAGCGGTAAGACATCCACGGCGTGATGTGAGTAAGGATCGGTGAGTCATGTGCAGCCATCGTTCAAAAGACATAAGCGCTATAACAAGTGTCGTAAGACACACCAGGTATGTACTCATGAGAATGCCAGGCAATGAGACAACTCCAAACCCATGGTTCAGCAAATAGGGAATGGAAAAAAGAGGGCTGGTAACACCAGTTAACAAGTCCGTAAACGCCAAAACACTCAAAAGAATATGAAAAGATGTTCTCTGAAAGGAATTCTTCCAAATCGCCGTCAAAACCACTGCATTTCCCACCACTGCCACGGGGGAGAAAAGAACGATAATCACATGACTTGCCACAAAAATACTGTTCGTCTCTTTGGCATTTGCTCCAGTGCTCATGGTACTAGGAATGGAAAATGGAGAATGTAGAAGGCCAAGTCGCGATGTTGAACATGATGGCGAAGCTCGGTTCACATACGCTTGTGTTAAAAATAAAGCGGCTTGGCTTGAGAAGTTTGTAGGCGATAGAAAAATTGTTAGCTTTTAAACTGTGTAAATAATATTGGTAAATACAAACAGCGCCAGAAGACACAACTTTTGAACAGTTTTCATAGGCACTGACATCAGTCTGTTGAAGGCCTTAGGATGATTGTTGAATTTCAGATGAATGTTTTATCATACATAAAAAAATTAATTACTTATTAATTAGTTTTTGCTGCTATTTATGTGCTGAGTTGAAATTACTTCTTTTCAATTCGATGTCGGGTTCCTGTTGTTTTTTCTTTTGTTGACTGTTGATGACCGTTGCTTTGTTGTGTCATGAAATTTTATTTTTCCGGTAGCTGACATTTATAATCTTTTAACAGGGAAAACATGACCGTTTTTTGAACTCGGCTCTTTTCAATCTTTTCCTTAAATAGATCTCTTATAACAGCATTGACAATAGTGATGGCGACCATAAATAAATCAAGCAAAGCTTTTTCTAAAATAACTAAGATAGTACGCATGCTCTGATTGGCCGAGAGGAGTGTTTGCATGAGAGTATGTAAACATGGTTGTGGCGTCAAGTTGTTTGGCTTTTCGCGCGCTAATCATGCAAGCACGAATTTGAAAAAGTTTTCGAGTTCAAAACTCGACAAGTTTACTTTATTTACCCATTCCTTCGTCGTCTGAAACATGGGAAATCGTTACAAAGAAGGTGAGTCAATTTTTCTTCACTTAACCTGACATTTTAAGCGAGAAAAATCCGTATTTTGCAAAGCATCTTTTTGCAAAACAAGAACTGAATACGCGTGCAAGACTTCGTGGACAAGATTTTGCGACTGGTAAGAATTTCTCTTTTAATCAGTGTCATACAAAGAGTTTTACGTTTTTTTCTCGGGAAAGTTATTTTATAAAAGCAATAGAAAACTTTTTTTCTGTGTTTGCATAGCCTGATATAAACACTCGAGGCGTTGGGAGAATTCTCGACGGTTATGCACCTATCAATAGGGAGCTTAAGCAACAACGTTTTTGAGCGACGCACGTCAACCGGAAGTGGCCTTTTTTGATTTTTTGACGGTGGTTTCGCGCAAATTTTCAGTCAAATCGCCTCTATAACAGTAAAGAAGCTAAGGAATACAAATTTTATATCATCAAGGCATGTTAAGAGGGAAAAAACCTCACTTCCGGTTGACGTCCGTCGCTCAAAAACGCCTTTGCTTAAGCTCCCTAATGTAAAGCCGGCGGGGGGAAAGGCAGGGCATGGGGTGGGGATTTGATTGTCTTTGTTGGCCCTGGGGTAGGGCATTTGACTGATCTTGTTGTCCCGGGGGGGATATTTGAATCTTTCTTCGCCCGACGTGGAGATATTTGACTGCCGACTAGGACGAAAAAGACTGAGGGCGAACATATATTTCCCGCTTCCACGCTTCACGCATGCGCCGTACGGTTTGAAAAGATCAGGAAGTCATGGAGGCCAATGAGAAGAAGCGAAGGCTGCGTGGATTTCACTGTTTTGTCTTTAGGGTGTTTTTGATCAATTGAACCTCTTAAAATACTGTGGTATCAAAGTAAAGGGAAGTAAAGAGAAACCAAGTCGATTTTTGCAAGTACAATTGATTAGTGTATGGCTCATTCGCTACAATCACTGTAAACTTGTAGAACTGACTTTCTTTGTACCCTTTACTAAGAACGGTATATTTAAACGTACAAAATGTGGAATTTCTCCTAAAGTTTTATGTATTCTACGCAGTGTAACACGGATTATGATTAAAAAGTATAATTGCAGCTGTAACAGGAACATGTATCTTTGGTGATGCAGCAACGTTTATGAAAGATTTCAGAGTTTTATTTGGAGATATTTTTTATTGTGCCTTTCTTAGGTTCTGTCTTGGGATTGACAGCAATATGTAGCCTGGGGTGGGGAAATTTGGTTGCATTTGTACTGGAATGATTTGCCCTTGGGCAGGGAATTTGATTGCAAATTTTTGAAAAAAGTCAAATCCCCACCCCCATGCCCTGCCCCCTTCCCCCACCCCCCGCCGGCATTACATTGATAGGTGCATTATGCAAACCCTCGACTTCGTCTCGGGTTTGCATAACTGTCTAGAATTCTGCCAACCCCTCTCGTGTTTATATCAGGCTATGTAAACACGGAAAACGTTTTCTGTTGCTTAAATAGTGAATAAAACCTAGCACATGTATTATTTAAAGCTCCTCACAGTGTGATGAAAATATTCAAAGGGCCTGTAAATTGATCATAAAATATTAAATAACAATATAAATAATAATGATAATAATAATAATAATAATAATAATAATAATAATAATAAGCAACCGCTACGAAGAATCCATCGATCACAAAACAAGTGGCTGTCCTGAATTAGCAAAGTCTGCCTCTTGCATCCTCTGAAAAATCTGCAAAGTTTACAACATTAAAGTGGGGAACAACTGGTACGTAAAAGCGTACACCAGAGACAGTAACAGAAAATACAAATGAAAGATGTATATCCTCTGGGACATGCTGGGGCCTTATAGCAGAAACTGTGCCTGTAGGTATTGGAGCACTTAGCCTAGTTAAAAAAGGGCCTGGGAAAATACGTCGAAAAAAGTCTTGGAAACATCTTTAGAAGATCAGCCTGCTGGGCACGGCCCATATTTTACGAAACGTGCTCTCCACTAACTAGATAACGACTCCCCCAGCTGCTCCCGAGGAAAGTGCTAGCTTCTCGTACCTCTGGGCGGTAAAAACTGCGAAAAAAGGAAAACATAATAATGATTTATTTTAGCTTGTACTGACTTTGAAGGGGCCGTGACAAAAAGTAAACTTAGCACGACATCAAATCTTATAAAAGCATATAATTCGCATTCATGAGAGTCCTCTACATTTTATTCATGCGATAAAGACAAAGGAATATGACATCATCGACGTTACTGCGCAAAAATGGGGTTAAGAAAATCCCCACTTTACAGTCTATACTACTCAAGTCAAGAATCAGGCAAAGTTTTACTTGAAAATGTACTTAAACTTGTAAAAAGTGTTTGGGGTGTAAGTAGGATCATTGAACAATTCGCTTGATCATTTCAATACCAGATGATGCCTTGTTGCGTCATCTTTCAAAGTGGACAATGACACTTAGGTGAAAGGTCGGGAATTTTTCAAAGAACATAAGAAACTCAAACATCACAAAGTATACGGTAAAATCAAGCTTCCCTGGCGATAAAACGGTTCCTTTGGCTGTCAGTTTTCAGTACTCCCTATAGAGTGTCCCCCTGGGTGGACATTCTTATAATTAGATGATTACAACAACAAGGAATGAATAAAACTATCTTTGTTCAGCTGTCCTCAGCTGGTAGGAAAAAACCTTCCGAAAGCAAGGTATGTATTACAATGTACCAATAACAAGCTGCATGTCATCATGTAGTAATACGTGCAACCAACTGCTGACATAGTTTAGGATGTCCTGCTAAGGGGTACTATTTCCTTAGATAATACAGGCCAAAAGGACAAGGGATTTTTTATGAAAAAAAAAGCATTCCTGTTTAGTTACCCTGGCCTCTTAGAAACCTAAAGAATCACCGTTCCATCGTTTAACAGTCAAAAACCCAGATATGATATACCTCCTAACAAATGTTGCTAAAACTCAGGATGTCCCTTTGGACGGTACTATTTTCTTCGGTAATACCGGCCAAAAGGACAAGGCCGCTTTTATGAATAAAAATATTCCTATAGATTTATCCTAAGCTTTTAGAAACCTACAGAAATCAAGTTCTACAACACAGTTTAACAAAGAAAGCTAGAGGTGATGTACATGCCAACAAATGTTGCCATAATTTAGGATGTCCCGTTGGACGGTACTATTTTCTTCGGTAATGCCGGCCAGCGGGACAAGACAAATTGATCAGACATTTATGAAAGGATTGCTCACTATACAGGACCAAGAACTCTTCAAAAGTCACAATAAACGAAACTTCATCAACAATACCGTAAAATCACGCTTCTCTGGCGATAAAACGGCTCCTTTGGCTGTCAGTTTTCCACCACGCTTGAGCTGCCATATTGGATGTTTTCGAGAATTTCCGAAGTCGGCCCGAAGCGGAAACTCGTTCCTAGTACTCCTCGGCTGTCCTTTTGGACGGTATGATTTTGATTTAGGCACAACCTTCAGGGCGGAAAAACGTAATGAGCATGCGTGAACTTTTTTGCCCAGATCCCCTGGCCGGGTTTGAAAAAATGGCGGGATTTCAAATATTTTCTTGCCTAAAAATAAAATGTTTCCACTTATAATACCTGCCAACTTTTCTGAGATGTAAGCGTGAGATTTTTATCCTGAGAGTGCTGGGATTTTTGAAGACGACACGATCATTTCCGAAGATAATCAGAGATCGCGAGGAAGGTATTGCCTTTTATTCATTTTACACATGGTTTTCGTTCCTTACATGGGTCTGAGTTAACATATTTTTTGAAACTGTGTCAAGCAGGACGGCAACAACTCACATTTTTCAATCAGGCGTGAGAAATTGGCCCGCAGGCGTGAGCCGGCGTGAGATCGAAGTTTTCAACCCGCAGGCGTGAGAGTTTTGTCTTCAAAAGTTGCAAGCTGTGGTTATAACCTTGTCGTTACTTAATTTTCTCGAAGAATACCTCATAGTAAAACGGACTTGAACGACATTAATTTCCTTGCGTTGTACTGGAAATGTGCATGCGTAGGTCCGATTTTTTTCAAGATGCATTCACAAAACGTGTTCATATAAGGAAGTTCCTGGATATATAAGGTCCGGAGCTCCACTGTGGACACAAAAACAACATATCTTTGGACAGTGATTTGCCCAAAAAAATTAACCCTTGCCCACAATGTGTTTGA